CACAGTAAAAAAAATATTTAATCAATATTTCTTGATATCAAATTAGAATGTATTAAACTTAGTAATTTGACTGGAAGTAAGATTGTTCTAAGATATATGTAAATTAGATTTATTCAAAGTTATTTATCATAAAAATTAGTATTCAGAATAATTATTCTTTTTCAACAACTGAACAATGAAAAACGACCCAAATTGATGTTACTTTTTCGTATAAACAAATCAAATTAAATTAAAATATAGCTAGATTAAGAAATATGCATAAATTAATTTAACGGTATAAAATATTTCCATGACAAAATTCACCATGTTAAATTATTTAAAATAACACTGTTAATTATTTTATTTATTTAAAGATAATTTTTAGATATTACTCACTAGTGAGAACTTTGCCAGAAATTTCCGGCCATTATTTATAACAAATTAAATACACCATTAATATAATAGGACAACTACGAACACATGATAATGTACGCCTCTAACTTAAGTTAAAAAACGATACTCTTTAAATAAAAAGTAAATAAGACATAGATAACAAAAACCTCTAGTAGACGTGAAAACATCTCTCTAGTTATCAAACCAAATTAATGTTATTTAGATTATTATTTTGATAAAATACTGATATGTGTTGTTAGAGAGCGCCACGAGTAGCATATTATAATTTCGCACAAGAATAAAACTTATAGCGAATACGACTTTCTCATTGGTTTTACAAGCTTTGTGCTAACAATATTATATTTGACGCTTGTTTTGAAATTTTGTTATTTTTATCACTGGACATAGATCATAGATAAGATTATATATTTATAACATATTGAAATAGAAATATTTGTAACAATAAAACAATTTATAAAATATTAATAGGATTTACTGTGATTTTTACAAATTTGTATATTTTGTAATAATTTTCTTGGTTTTTTCTTTACATGACTATTGGTCTGTTGCAGCTGATCTTCCTACAATATAATAAAGATAAAAAATCATTCAAGTAATCTTCAAATGTCACTTTCAATTCATTATTAGGACATAAATATCTTAATACGTCAACACTATTAATATTATGATTATGATAATTATCTATTGTTATAACGACAAACAAATTTTCAGTTTGTCGGACGGTTGTTCTCGTCGCGCGACGGCAACGCGAGCACGCCCCAGCGGACTGGCGACAATGGCGTATACATCGTTACTTAATATTATATTAACAATATACGGGTAGTTCCAAATTGGAATTTAGTGGAAGTCGGAGGATTAGGCTTAGCAGACGGGCAATAGCATATACGTTGGTAGTCATTATACAGTATAACTGCGGCCCTTAGAATTATTTAGAAGTTCTCGACAGTAGCTGACGGTCCGTGTTTTAAACCATCCCTATCTGGGGACACAGTGGCACGGGTCTCTTCCATTGATCTTGTAAAGCTGGTATAAAAATGTTCGTTGACCATAATGAACAAATTAAATAATAAGTCTTCATATGTAACTTGTCAATTGAAACATTCTATTTGCGCCCCTCCCATTATGAATTTCTAAATATGTCCTTCTTATCAGAATAAACACATTAAAAACATTTTTTTCGTAAAAAACCTTAGGGGCAGTTTGATAAAAATATTTGGCAATTCTAATTTAATTTACCCACTTTAAAATATTTCTATACAAATTTACATGATTTTTGGTGGCGACAAATTTAGACACTAAGTCTCCTCTAAACTCACAGATTGCGCTTTTGACTATAATCACTATAACGTTTAAAATGTTTTTAGACAAATGACATAGTGGTAATATTTATTGTTTTTAAGTGACAAACTCACTTTACAACATTTATTAGAATTTCCGCATTATTGTATACGACTTGTTTACAGATAATATAATACAACTATTCTAAAATAATATATTGGCAATAAATTAGAAAAACAAACATATTTAGACATTTGTGATTATTAAAGTGGTTTTAAAAAATTTATTTTGTTTTTTTATATGCACTCCTTAAATTGTTTTTAAAGATTTAAAACATTATCTATGCTAAATTTTGAACCGACATATTAATGTTACACGTGCTCCCTGAAGTTGAATAAATATTTTAATTAAAATTGTATTAAAAATATTCAACTCAAAAAGCCATAAATAGTTACTAAAAAGAATCGCGGTATGTATTCGTGACATAATATTACCATTATCTACGCTAAACACATACTGACACCCTTACCAAAAAAACCCTTTGAAACCCCTAAAAAAAATAGTTAAAACAAAAAAGTTAAATTTTAAGTCTATATTTGCATTAGGAAGTTGTCCTAGTCTTTGTTTGTTTGGCGCCTTAGATTTTTATGTCAAATCTTATTTTTTAATGTAATATAGAATTTTTGACGAATAAAATATAAAATAAGAGATTACAATTTCAATCTTGCCTTAGGCCTCAAAATACCTAAATCAAGGTCAGTGTAAATTATTAGTTTTAAAACTATAAAAATTGTATGTAAAATTTAAAATGTGTCATGTGTACACATTTTAAATCTGTAAATTTTATTTTGAAGTTATAAGTATAAGTTTAAATGTAATGTAAAACTACAATAAAGAATTTCAAATAAATAAAAGTAAATTTTCATTTATACTAATGTATTAAAATATAATAAATCAATACAAATATAAACGTTTTATTATACGACTAATAAAATGAAATAAACATGTGTATTACAAATTATACTATATAATAATCAACTAATTATCATTTAGTACAACAGGTATGTAAAAGAAAATGTAAATACAATGTTATTTGTATTTTCTTTGATGTAACACAAAATATAAACAAAATTGCGACAAACGTGTGTTCATCGCAATGTGATGACATTATTCTGGAAATTATCTCAAAAGCTAACTATTTATATGGTTTTATAACATTTTATAGTCTGGAAAAATATATTAAAAGGCAGCTATTTGTTCAGTGCTTATAACGCACTATGTTTAAATCTGACATTACTCCAGAAGAAAATCCAAAAAACGTTTTTTATTAATTCGTCCAATATGCAGAATTTGAACTATTTTCAATAAACTTTTTTTGATGTAATATTTAGCACAGCTTGTGCTAATGAAATGTTTCCGTTATTGATTTGCAGCGGGATTATATGATTTTTTTCAAGCTGGGACTTAAGCTGTAAGTATTTTTTATCCTCTATTAAATTGAATCATATTGAACTACGTTTCTTCTTTAAAATATTAAATATATTGGAGTCATTCCGAGATATTATACCCTTCGGTTGATTCCGTAGGGGTGCGAATTCTTGGGTAGTCTTACCTGTGGTTATGTTAGTTGAGAAAGTCGAAAAAGAAGGATAGCAGATGGTTTACTTTACTAAATATAATTTGATACTTGTGTATAATCTTAATTGGTTGATTTATTATTATTGTTACGCAGTCTATTTTAGATTCAATATTTTAATAAGAATTATAATTAATAGCATAGAATTAATAATTTAAATGCTTGAATTTTTAATGACAAAATACGACTAAACTAAATTTGTACACCAAAGTCGTGCTGGCCTACAATATGCAATGTCACCATCAGTATTACTGTTATTTCACAATAAGTGTATCGTGTGAGAGTGTTACATCACCGTCCTATTTGATAAAATTTAATCGTTTTAGTTGATAATTTCTTAATATAAGAGGATGCACTAAATTCCCAAAAATAAATTTGTTATACTCCCCCATATTTTTAGCTTCCTGACATCGAGTATCCAATGGTGAGAATACTACTGTAGATGTATTTTGGTCTTCTACATGGTGAGTTATGATTGACCCGCATTATAAAAAAAAATATTAATAATCAATTGAGTAAAATACATTAGGGTCATTCAACGAAGATATGGAATTCTATGGATATAAAATTAATAGTATTAAATGATTTAAAAAAATTTAAATTCATACAGTTCAATTATCATGCTAATTTAAAGTAAACACATTAAAAATGACGTTCTTAATTCAAATAAAGGAAGTCATAAAAGCTTTACTGATTCACTTACAATTAGATAATAATACATATATGCTTACAGTGGAAAACAGTAGGGATAATTTCCACTCATATTTTAATCCTCATGAAATTTGTCCATGAAAATATTGAAAATTTTTTAAATTTTTAATAAAAATAATGTATAAAAATTTTACTTTAATTAGAGAAATATTTTTTCTTAGTCATATGAATTATAAAATGAACAATCTAACTACCTATTTTTATCAGGTTGAGGTACGGTACTGTAGAAAATACTAGGATTATTTTTAGCATTAAATCATGCGAATTTTATACAAAGACATTTTTTTTGGTCATTACATTAAAACAGAGAGAAATAAAAGGATATTCTATTAGAATTTGATAACCTAAGCGTGAAATGTAGTCCCGTCTAAAAGTAAAAATTATAAAATTAGTCATTATTCTATAACGTAAAAAAGTAATTAAGTAATTATATTTATCCTGGGATTTACTTTTTATACCACTACATAACATTCCTGACTGAGCTATTTTGGTGGTGAAATTAGATAATTAGATAAGGAATTAATTTAACAATAATGTGTAAAAAAAACACATAAACAACATAAATATATTTCGTGTACAAATACTTATCAATTAAAACTTCAAAAAGTTATTAAATCAACTTTTTTGATTTAATAACAAAAAAATTGTACATGAAATGGAAAAACTGAAGTTCAGCTTATAGAAAATGACTTCAGTCATTAACATGTACTGCATAGAACTGTTAGTAATTTAGTTTATTATCTATATCCATAGTAACCAATGTATTCCAAACTATCAGTGTTACACTGATAATATAACTAAAAGTATTTATAAGTATATTATGTTTATTTAGTTGGTAGCACTAAGTTTTTAGAATATTGTTTACTAGGCTCTTATCATCTTACTATGTGCAGTCCCCCACACAAAATACAACAGTATCACTAACACAAATAATACACTTATATATATTTATTCTTCTATTCGGCTATTGTCGGTTGCAGTCGTCAACTATAGCATCATTGGTATTAACACATCTATATATTACCACCGCGAATCAGGCCGCAGCCGTACACTGCGTAGTTAAAATTTGTAATCGAGTTATTCTGTTTGAAGTTGGTTATTATTATTTTCACAAGTAAATAATTAGGGATAATCCGACATTTTAAAATACCTAGGATTTTATTATAACACTAAAAATGACTGTTATTACGATACCGTCGAATGAGAAGAAATCCGATAACGTCCCTTTAGTAACTAACATCGAAGTTGACCCATTGTCTCAGGTACGACTTAAAATATATTTGATAAAATTCTGGACTTGTTTTTTGTTTAATTGTATTATATATTCTGTTGTGTACTATAAAGTTGCTAAGTTATATAAACATATTTTGTATTGAGTGACTACGTGTTGTGATAATATTTTTCTCATTTTAGTCTACTTGTTACAGTTACTCATTCCCCCCGCTTTTTTTTTTGTTCACGTAGTTATTTTTGCTATTATTTATACAATCATTTATGTGTAAACAATAAAACACATACACTGATGTTTCAGTTTTTTACTTTTGACTTTTGATAATGCGCAAGTAGATATGTTATTTTCTGAATATGTGGAATAATGCCAAATGATTGATAAAGCTAGCTTAATAAATGATCCAAATGGGTTTCTTTTTTATTTTGTTCTATTGTTATAATTTCCTGTTTTTTATCCATCGTATATAGCATTTTGATGAGTCATACATTGTCAATGTACATGTTTAATTAAAATAAATTCTTTTGTATTCTATTAGCAAATTTTAACTTAGTTCTTTTGATAAGATTGTTGTAACATTATGTAAGCAACTTTTTTCTTATCTTTGCTATTATATTAGCATGCACCAGCATTTTTAATGTGACTTTTTAAAATAATTCAAATATTAATTTTATAAATTGTATCATTATTAATTATAATTAATAAATGAATATTCTAATAAACTTATAAAATTAAATTATAGTCATTGAATAATAAAGGACTATTAATCTTCTCTTGTACTTAGTTGTATGTTTTATTAATTATATCATCTACACTTGTTTAATATTCATTTTTTTTGAGGTCAATTAGTTACTATACAAAACTATATTGTGCTTTAATTAACTTTAACGTAACTGATTCTAAAGTTTTGTAGCTAATTCTTAGTGAATGTAAGTAGTTGTTTATTGAATAGAACTAATGATATGTTTAACTATATTTCAATAAATAAGTACTATTGATTTCATTAGTCTAATTGTAAATTTATTTTTATTAGTAATCACATTATTTTAGGTGAATTGTTTATACTATGAATAGAAAAAGTTAGTTTATATCTTTAAAATTTTATCAGTTAAAATAAATTGGTTGATGTACTAATAAAAAGGCATAATTTTTTTTAAAAATATTTTTATCATAACCCTTAACGCATATTGCATATTGAATGAACTTATGTTTATTCTTTCATGCATGTATTATACATAATTAATTGAAATGAAAAAGTTAATTTTAAAATTCTTTATTAAACTGAACTTATAATAATTAAGCAAAAACCATATAGATAGCAATTTACACAATTTTAAAAGCTCTTAGCATCTTAATAAATAACATTTATGGTTATATGAAAACATTTTTACAGTATTGGGATATTATTAAGTTAAAAAAAGATAATCTTCAGACCTTTTTGGTAACACATCTTCCTGTATTAGTACTTAAAATATAGTCGTATAATTAAGTTTAATATTCACTTTTAATAATTACTTTTATTAAATTTTCTAACAAGTTATTTAAGTATAATCTTTATTTTTGCTATATAAATTTTAATTCAATTTTAGTTAAACTAACTAAATAAAGCACATGATGCTGGACATCATGCAGACATAGTTAATTACAATAAAAAATATTACTGGAAGGTATATTATTTTCAACTGAAAAATTTATTTCTTCATTTAAAAACTTCAGAAATTCTTAAGTTCTTTCAATACTAATACAATTTGTTTTTTAGTATAGCTAAAAAATTCGCCCCAAAATGGTATAATATTCCTCATAATAAAATAATAACATTATATAAGCATTTATTTCAGTTCAGTTCATTAGTTTATTTTTTAAGAGCAGCCGAATAAGTTGGTACAGGTCCCTTGGTGTTGATTACTCAATCAACACTTTGGATTGGATTTAATGTATATCAATATTTTTTAAACACAAATTAGTATCTAATCAGGAAATTAAAAAACAATACATATCACTTTCTCTAAAGGGATAGAATGATGTTATATTTGCATGNATACATATCACTTTCTCTAAAAGGATAGAATGATGTTATATTTGCATGCTAGCATAAAAGTATATAAAAAATGTCGTAGGAGATTAAATTCATATAGAATTTGCTGCATCTAGTTTGGCTGTTATTTTTACTGAATGATCTTCAAATGGAATTAGTAATGAGGTTAAAGTTATTTATTATCATATATTCTCATTGGTATAGTTATGATTTTATATAGATATAGTACAAAATATTTATGTCTATATTTTTGACTTTTTTTTTTTTACTGATCACTTAATTTTAGAGATGAATATTACTGTCAATGAAGGCCATGATTTCTGGCTACACCACTGTGCTCTTTTAAAACTAATGTTTTTCTTAATTTTCTTATATTGCAAGAAATTATAATTATTATTTTTGCATACTATGTAAATGTTTATTATGAGCACAATTTCTAATTTTAAGAAATTTTATTCAATTTATATAATATTAAAATAATAATTTGCAGGGAAAAGATATTGAAGCTGGTCTTAAAAGTAATGAAAATGCTAGCAAGTCAAGATTAATGGTAGTGATTAATAATCGTGTGTCTCCATTAGCACTAGTTTATATTTTATTGATGACTTTACTTATCACATTTATGATGTTTTATGGAGAATGCATTTACAGAGCCATTGGGAATGCTTTCCGTGAAGAGGTAAGGAGATAACAATGTAATTTTATTTTTTTGATTGTATGAAACTTTGTTTTTCTTGTGTTATTTTTAACTAATAAACATTATTATAATATAAAATAACTTAAAACATTTATTATAATGAATAAAATCATTTTTCATTTGGTGCAACTGAGTTTTTGTTGAATCAAGGGTCAAATAAAACTTACATTTGATTGCAAAATTTATATTCTCACCTTATTACCTTAAAATAATATTTTATTTTAGTTATCAGAATATCGGGATTTCCTTTTTTAAAAGTTTAAGAAAGAAATTAGCTTTATATCAGTAATGCATTTTGTATGTCTATCAAATGTAATAATACCAAACATAGTATCAATAAACTGAATGAAACAAAAGTGTCCACAAATTTTTATGCTTCTATCACTGTTAAATATAGAATTATTAAGTATTACCTGATTTAGTCTGTTATCATTAGCTTGTAAAAACCTGTTGCCATTTAGTAAATTATTAAATACTGATATTTTCATTTGATTGATTTTGACTAAATAATTAACAAAAATTACTATCATCTATATTTTAACTATTTAATAATATGAAATAATATTATAATTCATTTAAATTATTAATTATAATATTTTATACTTGCCTCAGTATATTTATGTATTGCTTGGGGTAGGTATGATACTATTTGTTAAAATCTAATTAATTAAGAATATCATAACTTGGATTATTTGAAAATAATTATATTTATGTCTAATGACCTAACCAATTAAACATGAAACTTGAATAATTGATTAGATGTTAAAAAATCCATGTGTTTTTTAAAATTAATTATGTAATTATGTAATATTTGTGTCAAATAAATTATATCATTTAAAATAGTCCATTTACTTAAATATTTAAAAAGAAATATTAGATAATTTTTTTTATTTGTAGATTCTGTACTTTTTTTACTAAGAACTGGAAAGTTAAATTTTAATTTATTTGAACTTTTAGTATAGATTCAGGTACTCTGATAGTTTTTATGTTGTATATGATAATTATTTAACCATTATTTACACAAATTATTATATGAGTAAGTACAAAAAAAAATGTGTACACACTTACTCTACTTCACCTTATCTAAAATAGAGTTAGAAATATAACAACTGTATTCATCAGACATATAAAAATTATATGTTACACAATGTCAACACAAATGTAAAACAGTTGTTGTTATTCAAAAGTTTTAATTATTCATGGGTACATTTAATATTTTCTCCATATTTCTTTAACCAAAACTTTTGAAAAATGTTGAAGGTTTATTAAATTATAAAAAAAGAAATTATTTCCATATTTTGAATGCCTTGATATTTCTCATAACTATTTAGGTATTTCTTTTAGTACTAAAAAATATCCATTTGTAAATATTACCTTAAGAAAAAAAATATATATAGTTTGATTTTTTGAGTGGGTAGATAAAAAAATCACTGTATATATTGTTTAAAATGTAAAAATGTATCTTTTTGTTCTGTAATAACTTTAATTATTGAAAATAAAAGAAATTAATAATCCCAGATATATAAAAATTTAAAAAAATTAGTATTGTGATACCGGTATTTAAAGGTTAAGGTGACATACAGGAATGTGGAAATAATAGAGCTTATCAGTCATATTATGAAGATTTGGGAAAAGGCCTTGATAAAAGAATTAAAGGAGAAACATGAGTTACAACGAACTAGTATGGTATTTTGCTTAGTATGTTAATGACAGAGCTTTTTTTTGTGTGAGGCAACTAATAGAAAAGTTTAGAGAAAAGAAGAAAAAGCTGTGTATGGTTATTTAAAGATTTGGAGAAATGGCATGATAGTGTACCGAGAGAGGTTTTAAAGTTGGCATTATTGAGAAAAGGAGAAAATAGGGAGGAAATAATCGAAGGCTAGTGGTGTGGAGGTCAGCTCTTGAAGAAAAGAGTTTAAGAATAAGTAGAAGTAAGTCAAAGTATATAGAGTACGGGTTTGACAAAGGAGAAAACGAGGTAGTTGNTATTTAAAGATTTGGAGAAATGGCATGATAGTGTACCGAGAGAGGTTTTAAAGTTGGCATTATTGAGAAAAGGAGAAAATAATCGAAGGCTAGTGGTGTGGAGATCAGCTCTTGAAGAAAAGAGTTTAAGAATAAGTAGAAGTAAGTCAAAGTATATAGAGTACGGGTTTGACAAAGGAGAAAACGAGGTAGTTGAAATGAGAAGATTATTGACAAAAAGCGAGGACGTGATAGGAGAGGTGGAGAGTTTTAAGTATTTATGGTGGTATTATTAAGTGGTGGTATTAGTGAGTATGTAAGACACAGGATTAAGTGCGAGTGGTTGAAGTGGAGAGAAGTGTGTTATGCGATAAAAGAATTCCAATGAGGATGAAAGGTAAGTTCTGTAAGACTATAGTGAAACCAGCTATGATATATGGTTTAGAGTGTTGAGGGGTTCACAAGAAAGTAAAGCAGTGAATGAGTGTAGCATAAATGAGAATGATAAGATGGATGAGTAGAGTGACTAGAGAAGATAGGATAAGAAACGAGCATATAAGAGGGAGAATAGGTGTAGCGTCAATCGTGGATAAGATGAGAGAAAACAGACTTAGATGGTTTGGTCATGTTATGAGTAGAGAGGTGAAACATTTTTCTGTTATTAAGATATTACTTGTATTTTAAGATTAGATAATTGTTTTAATCCCACAAAAATTGTTGTGATATTAATATTTTTTTTTACAAGTCAAATTTTTTATTTTTTTGCTAATTTGTATACAATTGAATAATAATTAAATTTATTATTTATAAATTTAAATTTATATATTTAATTTTCCAGGATGATGCTTTTTATGGAACTGGTACTATAGCCTTGAATGATAAATTACAACTTCCATTGCAAGAAATGAATGATTATGACATCAACCAGTTTAATAATGATATGGAAGCTGAATTCAAAAAACTTGAAGTAAATATATTAACGTTATAATCAGCTATTTATTACTTGTTAAGTTGGGTAACATAAAAAGAATTTTATTATATTATATTAATTGTGTGTTATTTTAAATTTTATATTAAATAATAGACATACACCTGTGCAGGTTTAATTTGACTGGTGTAGTTCAGTCCTAACATATGACTTCCAAACCTTGAAAACTATTTTTATGTATTTTATGTAAAAAATTAGGTATATGACAGTAGATATCACATATGAATTACAACATAATAGTAATTTCAGAGCCTCATTAACCATTGTTTCATTAAATAGTATAATATTGATTACTGTTAAAATATATCAATAATTAGGATTTGATGATATTAATCTAGATAATGTCTATAATCCAATAACTAATATTCTAATAATATTATAAAAGCAATACTGCGATACTTCTCAAACATTGCACCTATTACACAGTTTTTTTATAATTTATTATAACTTTTTTTTCAATTTCTGTTTGAATCTTTAAAAAAATATTCTTTAAAATACATTTTAGTTTAAGTTTAATTTAGTCTTGTACATTTTTGATATAATAAAACTATTATATATTAAAAATTAATTAATAAAATGTCTACTATAATTTGATTGAAACGTGCATTAAGAAAGTTGCCTAAAAAAAAATGTTAGTAGTTTTCTCTTTGATTCTTATACTTTTAGCCCTATGAAATAATTTTTTAACTAGTAATATATCCTTTTACATAATTAAAAAAAAATATTTTTATGCAATAATTAATATAAATTTTTAAAATGATGCTATTTAAAAAAAAAAAAACATTTTTTCAAAAATTTGACAACTGCTTCTTATAAGAGACTTAAAAAATTAAAGTTTTTAGGTTTAACCCTTTGTACTTTGGTCTATTATTAGATTTTAAAATAAAGTATTTTTAATTGTTATTTTAGTGATATTCACTTCTTAATTATGGAAATTTAGAGAAATTTTTTTGTGCCGATATGTTTAGATATAACTTGTAATATTTTGACATATTCATTGAGTATTATTTTTTTTGTTAGTAGGAGTAGAGTATTTGTGTAGAAGACATAAAAAATAAGTTGTGTTTGATGTTAAAAAATTTACATGATAAATATTGCAACATTCAGTAGATTTATTTGTAGTAGTATTTTATAAACTTTAAATTTATTTTACTGTTACTTTTAATCATTTTCATGTTACTAAAATTTAATCTGAGTAGTAATTTATATCTTTAATGTGTAAAATTATTTTTAATTTATAACTTATATTATAATCATTAAATAATAAATTAATCATGAAATTATTGTCTTAGTCAATATTTAATATATATATTTTAAGTAGGTTTTAACCTAATCACAAATTATTTTCTTACAATATTGTAAAATATTTTTAGAACTTTGCATTGAATATGGAAAAATTAAACAGTCAAATGTTGGGTTCAGATGATGCTATTTCAGAATTTAAAGAAGATTTTGAACTGGATTTAAAAGACGATAGTTATGAAAAAATTGCTCCTTCTTTACCAAATGCTAACTCAGCACGTTTCATTCACGATTTTAGTGCTGTAAGTGAAAAAAAAATTATTTATTTAATTTTATATTTAAATTTTGTTTATTCAATAGAATGTTTCTGGAATTGTTGATGTTGAAGGAAAACGTTGTTTTGTTATGCCTTTAAATCGTAGCTCAGTATTACCACCCACTTCGTTATATGATCTATTGTTTAAAATGTCTAGTGGTAAGTTACGAAGTCAGTTAAAAATATAAGATATATATAAATACATCAATATAAGTATTTAAAATTATGTTAAAATCATAATGAAAATAATCAAATTATCAAAATCAATTTTATATCAATTCTTTTAGGGTTATCTTATTTGTTTTATTTTAAAGGACGGAAGACATTTGTGTATTATTAAAATAATATAATGGATATATGTGTACTGTATTTTTTTTTGTATATTAAATATAAATTTCTTTCAAAAAGTAAAGAATTTTCTATGTTTAAATCTATCTTATACACACACACATATATATTACTGCAGTCCCTTAGTTTTGAAATTTTAAAACTTGACCATCTCACCCATCAATGTTTCTACAATATAGAAAAAAAATTATAAAATTTGATTTAGATTATTTTGATTGATTAAATTTTTGGTATTGAAATTTATTATAAGAGATTAATCCTTTTGTTTTATAAAGATAGTGTAAATGTTCACCATCATTTGCCTTACTTCAATAGAAAATATATTGTACATTTATTTTCAACATTAATAATAATAATAATAAATGTAAAAAATGTAATAATTTTTTCATACTTGTAATTTTTTTTTTATCATCAACTCCTTAGCTTCTATCCCAGCTATTTGGGGTGAACTCTACCTTATAGTGATTTGTTAGGATTTTTACACCTACTGACAATCTAATGCAATTTCATTATGTTGACGAGAGAACCAGTAATTTTCTTTCTATTAAAAATTTTAATTGTTTTAAAATATTTGTAATAGGTTACTATTCGGTTGATACAAAGAATATGATGCATAACATGCGAATAGTCACTCCAGCTGTCAAAGATCTTTCTAATTATGGAATATATGTCGCCAAAGACTGTGCTGCATATCCAGTATATAAGTTGGAAAAAATAGTTTCTGGAGGTGTGTAATTACTAATATGTTGAAGTATATATATATATTTTTTAAATGATATTCATTAATTAAATATCACTAAATTCCGTTTTAACCTATTACAATATGTGCATGTATGTAGCATGATGTTTTATGATTTATATTTTTTATTTATAAGATGAATTTGCATGAACTTCAAATTTTTTATTTTATAAGATTTTTTTAACAGAAATGAAAGTCAAAAAAATTTATGTGATTACATTAAAATGTAAAATTTAATGTTAAAATGTAGTCATGTTTGATTTTAGTTTTTATAAACTGTTACTTATTCATAGTTATTGTATTTATTTCTTGTGTATTTAGTAACTGCATGGTGAGAGTTTATTAAAATATATATTTTTTGTAATTAGCTTGTATTTCATTTAAATCTTAAATTAATTGTTTGCGTGGACTTTAAATAGTCATTAAAAATGTCCTTTTATGTGTAAGTTTCATCATTTTATTTGTATAAAAAATAAATTATATCATATAAAATATGGAACTAACCATCTACTGTTTTGACACTTCAATTAAATCTTTACATTTTGATTCTAAGCTATGTAGATTATGTTGTCCTCTCTATGTCAAAGTTTCTTTTAAGAGAGAATCCTAATTATAAAATAAAACTAACAGTGTTTTAAATAATAAGACAAATATATTTTATTTTGTAGTTTGAAACTGTTTAATTGTATTATAAATAAACATTAAAGTAATAATTTGAATAAAAATTTATTTCATTACCTGGTACGTAATAATAATTGATAATTGTATATTAGTAATATTCAAAAGCACAATTAAAAGTGTATTATTTTACCTGTAAGTATATAAGAATGTGTGGGGTACTAGAAAATTTAATTTAATTTTTATTTTATTAGTGAAAATATACCTTTGAATTAATTTTGTTAATTCTGCCCTGTATTGAACTTATTGTCACTTTATAACTAACATATTAATAGTGAAATATTAAGTGATATTTCAAAGTAATTTTATTTTATAAATCAAATCACTTGTTTACTCATTTAACTATCTTGTATAAGAAAGATAATACATAACAAAAGTACAATTACTTTGGGCTCAAGTATATTATTTTATTTTCAGTATTTAAACGGAGTGCACCTACAGGAAGCAAGACATTTTCTGCATTCTCTGGAAACATGGATTCGTTCCATATAGTCAATTATCATGACATACAATAAATTTGATCTCTAATTATATAATTTCTGTTAAATAATTTTTTAATTTCAATGTTTTTAACTTTGAATACCAGCAATATCAATTTATTAATGGTTACTATTTTTATTTGTTAACAAAATTATCATATATTAATTTAATTTCTATTATTCTCAATCATAGTTGTGCTTTATTTATTTTATTTTTATGTATATTTGACGGTGTAGTGATTCCAGTATATTTGCATATGATCTAATTTTTAATAAAAACTTTTTAATCATTTGGACATAAGATTAAATATTAAATTTATACTATTATATTGGTTTTTCAAAAAAGAAAAGTAATTTAAGAACCTAATATTTTTTTGTTCATTAAATAAGTACCTACTATTTAGGAATGAATATTTAATAAATAGTCATTTATTCATGAATATTTGTGAAATGTATAGTTATGATATGAAATTATTTTTTAGTTTTTAAAATATAAAATGTTATAATAACTTAAAATAAATACTGTTTTTACTTAAAGATAATAATTTTGTATTTTACTAAATCACTCAAGGGTTAGAAGCTAAATTAATAAAATTTAAAGGTTGATGGGTGGTTATATAGATATTGGAAATATTTCTGTAGACATTTGTCTTATTTTAACTATTTTTGGTAATAACTTAAAATTATCTGTTTGTAAACTATGAAATAAATAGATATTAATTTTACCATGATGTGTCGTAATTAATTTTTCTCAGGTTTCACTGAACCAAATTTTTCAACGATTAGTCAAATTATCACATATTGTATTTAATTGAAGACATAACCCTTAAAAATTAAAAAAAAATCTTCGTTCCAGTAAATGATGGAAATCCACAAAAAACTAAGATTTTTCAAATTGGTAATTTTTGACATTTTAAAAACTTTTCTTAACAGATTTTTAAAAAAAGAACGAAACAAAACAATTTCGTTTATAAATATCTTAGACATCCCTTTAATTAGGTAGATTGTTTTTGGAAATCGGACCATTTACAAGCCCACGTGAAAAGATATAAAATAGCGCCCTATACGAAAAGTTAACTTTTAGAAATATTTTAGTAATCCAGATACTTTATTCAGGGTGTCCAACCGTAATTTACTAATTTGACTATTTAAACTAGTATTAAAATTAATGATTAGGTGGGATATTCTGTATACATCTTAGATTAAAAGTATTAATTATTAAATATTTTAGGGAAAATTTTTCAGCTATTAATATGTATCCAATAAGAGGAAAGGGTTACCCTTTAAAAAAAATTATTTTACCTACAAATATCATATAAGTTGCGATTTCAATTTTATGACTAAAATTATAATTAACTAACAAGGGTCAGAATAATCGAAATTTCTTTTCTTTATTTTTTTAATTTATTCTAGTGATATACTATTACAATAATAAATAAGTAATATACAATGATAGTCAATTTTTATTGTTGTTAAATTTACTATCTTTATTGAAGAGTCTTAAATGTACAGTTAAGTTTGGTGGGTACCAAATATTATTTAAAAATATAGTGTAATACAAAATAATCCAGTAAGAGAAATGAGCGTGAGATGGGGATATATATGATCGTACAGCAGTCGCCATGCTCGGCTAACATTTTGAATTGGATGTGGGTCTCAGAAGTGGTGAGGCAAACTTTTAATTTAGTAAATTTGAATAAATAATTTACCTATTTTTAAGATTATAGGTACACGTAGATAATAGCTGTATTAATCGGTAACATGTTAATTCTTTAAAATTTTTATTAATTATAAGATGAAAAATTATAATCGTATAATACTTTTATACATTGACTGATAACTGATGTGATAAACGTAATTCGTTTGTTGTTTTTTTGGGTAAGCATAGATTAGAAACAATAACGACATATTGTCGATTCCATTTAATTTATATGTAAAATGTAGATTCGCATTTGAAACCACCTGGCACACGATGGTGTTCACCGCTGAGAAAAATTTACATCAGCCTCATTTTACCTAGTATTCACGACTCTCCCTCACCAATCAATCTTAATAATCCTGTATAGCAACTGAATCAAAAAAAAGTTTGCCTCTCGGACCTCATCGGTTTGCTTCGTAATCGGTAGTGTAACGTGTTGTCATTTTTTAATCATTAACGAACGGAAAGCGCAGACATTTGGTTTCGGCTCTGACTACCGTGNATTTGGTTTCGGCACTGACTACCGTGTTATATCTCGCTGTGTTTGTGCAGCGCCAGTCAGGCGTGCCTATGAGGTAATTTTTAGAACGAACTAAGTAACTATTTACTTATATTTTTAATTATCACTTTTTTAATCATATTTTAATACTTTATGTATAAAACACTATGATAAACTATAGAAACTTTAATAAAAGAATAATTTTTTAGAAATGAATCATTATAATCAACTTTATTGCTTCTCGATATTTTCGAATGTGTTCTTCTAACTCTCCGTGAGCTTTCTTACTGATCAGTCCCTCGATATCCACCCAATTCGCATCTATGTGAAACAGTATGTAAAAGTTTTGAGGTTAAAATAATTAATTTTTACATTAAAATTGAAAAAATAAGATTTTTTATGCAGCATAAATGTAAAGATAGTAAAATATTACTGAAACAATAATTATTAGGCAAGAACGGTTTAATGACTTTTAAAGAATTTTTAAAGAAATTAAAGAAATTTTTAAAGAAATAAAATTAAATAAGGTAGGCAAATTTTGTAACATAATGATTTTTGAGTTATGAACATCTTTACTTGACGTGAAAAACCTCCTATATGCAAAACATTTAATATCTATTACTAGGTGGAATATTTTTGTTTGAATCTAAGGAAAGCAAAATTTTTAACCATTATTATTTACACATAGGAGATTTTTAACGACAAACAACGACCAATCGCTTCAGAAATTAGTGATTTAAAAAATAAACTATTCTAGTTACTGAATACCCTTCATTAAATGAACACTACAGGTATTACTTTAAAATTTAAATCACATGCATCAAGGTTGAGTAATCAATATAATTTTTTTTATATAGANGCATCAAGGTTGAGTAATTTTGTTAATTTATGATGCATGATTTTAATAGCAATATTTAAAACAATTATTTTGACATTAATATATGCTCTGAGCAATTAAAATTCTGTTAAATTACAGGACATTCTCAGTTTTTTAATGTAATTCAAATTATAGTAAATTTATTTTTTATTTAATAGTGCTAAAAGTATTAAAAATGAAAAAGCCGGACAACAACAATCGAGTACTGGGGCTGATGAATGACACAAAGTATAAGTCTACGTACCGGAGTTGAGTAATCGCGATGGCCAGGTTTTTTGGTTTTAAATAGTTTTAGGATTATTGCTAATTTCACTATTATTTTTTATAATTCATCAGCCATTAGTACCAGATACGTTGTCTGTGTTTTATTTTATATTTTAGCTTCGATGCGAAACTGAGAAGGTATTGGTTTTACTAAGATGTGTTTATTTTTTTTTTTATTTATATTTTTGTGTCTGTTACCACTTTTTTCAGATCTCGCCGAACCGATTTCTTTCAATGATACGTCAAAAATGAAAAAGAGACAACATTGTTAATTTTATATCTAGATTTCTAAGTTAATTCGCAATAACAAATCTTTTATACAATTTTTAACTCCAATAAATCCTTAATTGCTCGATAACTAAACGAGTTACCCTATAGTTAATATTTTTAATTAATATAATACTAAATACGAGTACTAAATAATATTAAGACAATCTTCTCTTTTATTTTTGCAGGGCAAATTTTTCAATAGAAAACGCTGGACTTTTTACTTTTTATTGTAAATTGAGTGACATTAATGCGTTATTAGAACTTCGAATTTCCATAAAGAACAAAAAAACATCATCCGTTATTACATCTATTTATGAAAGAGGCGACACAATACTACTACCTCTTATACTATTAGAACCGAACGTTAACGTACTACGTAAGGCGTAAAATAATACTCAATTAAAATTTTTATTAATTTATTACACAATTCGAAATACAAAGCATACTTAAGATTTTTTTCAGGGAGGCTATTTAAATAAATTTTATCTTTGGTGATTTTTTTAGCTTTGATGCGAAGCTGAGAAGGTATTAATTTTACTATGATGTGTTTTTTTTGTGTCTGTTACCACTTTTTCTCAGCTCTCACCGAACTGATTTCTTTCAACGATACGTCTAAAGATCACAAATCGTATCTAATCGAAGACATTACCCTCAAAAATTGAAAAAATTTCTCTCGTTCCCCGTAAATAGTGGAAACCTCCAAAAAAATTACAAATTTAAAAATCGCTAATTTTCGAAATTTTTTCTACTTATAACGCCATAACTTTTTCAAAAATAGACAAATCAATATAATTTTTTTTATATAGATGCATGATGTCTTTACTTATCATTTGATATATTTTTTTTATAAATTTAACCCTTTACCAGCCTACAGGGGGGGATTCAAAATGACAATTTTTTCACAAAAAATTAACTTTTTCAACTTAACTTTTGAAAATGTTCCGGAAATACTGACACTTTTATATATATCTTAAATTAAGGTTTATGTAATATACTTTAATATGAAAAAAAAAAAATTTCGAACTTTATTTTGTCTTAATGGTGAAAATAGCTTCCGTAAATATGCTATTTTTGTGTTAAAATTCTTGGTTTTGTATTTTATTTTATTATAAGGGGATTACACTGATTTTCATAAACATTATATCAATCTAAATGACATAGTATAAAAAATTAAACATATTTAAATTTTTTTGTTTCTTTGAAGTCGAGAACTTTATTATGCTATAACTTTTTGAAAAATGTATGGATCAATACAATATTTTTCATGAGAAATAATATTTTTTAATAATTCCTTTTTCATTCGACATACTTTATCTTAATCAGGATATTAATAAGGAACTAGCAGATCATGTAGCTTTTGGAATAATCCACCAATTTTTTAAAATTAAACACTATCTAAAAATTTGCATCGAAGCGTTTTTTTTTTATAGTGATTTTAATCACTGTCAGATATCATTATACTTGATCTAGCTATGCCACGACCGCCCTGTGCTGGGTTTTTTACAATAATTGTGACGTGACATTATAATAGTTTAACGGGGAACGAGGGAATTTTTTTCAATTTTTGAGGGTAATGTCTTCGACTAGATACGATTTGTGATCTTTTGACGTATCATTGAAAGAAATCGGTTCGGTGAGAGCTGAGAAAAAGTGGTAACAGACACAAAAAAAAAANATCATTGAAAGAAATCAGTTCGGTGAGAGCTGAGATAAAGTGGTAACAGACACACAAAAAAAAAAAAACACATCTTAATAAAATAATACCTTCTCAGCTTCACATCGAAGCTAAAAACTAACATTTATGAGTATGTCAAAAATATTAATCGCTTCCCAGATAATTAAATTATTTTATTAAAATTACACTGCTGACAATATTACAAATTAATACATTCCCGTTGCGTAGGGATACCAAATATGATATTATCTGGGCTATAAATAGAAATTTATGTTATTTTGTTATATACTTTATTATTTAAAGAAGTTTCATGTACTCTTTCAAATATTTTATTAATAATTTACCCCAACTTTTTTTTATTTAGCAGCAAATACTTTTTACGATTAGGCAATTAAAAAACCAAACAATACAATGATAAATTTTTTTTTTAACTATTAATATTGATTTATAATTGTAATAAAATGATTTCATTGTGTTTATAATAAAAAAAATGATATAAGTTATATAAATTGATTGTATATTTTAAATATTTTAAATTCATGAGTGGTTAAATATATTCAATAAGTAAATTAAGATAGATGAAAATCATTAACATTAACAATCTAAAATTTCTTATAAGATTTATTATAATATAAAATTTACAGCTAACTACTAACTTATACAGTTACTAAAACTTTATTATTTGTAGATTATCAAAATTAGTGTACGCCAAACTGAATGCCAAACAAAAGAAACATTACATTTTTGTTTTTTTCAAATGAGACCTTGAAACACTTAAATGTGATTTCGGTTTTGCATTTAAATTAAGTAATTTTGTCATATTCATATATAATTCTTCATTTACAATCTAGAAATAAATAAAATATATTCCATAGATTAAATGTATTTTAGCCAAGTATAGTTTATTAATACTTTACGATTTTTTTCATTTTGTTGTAAAATTTTTTTTATGAATAGTTCGTTATTATTTTGTTTGTATATCTCATTAGCTAATGCATTATTTTGTTCTTCTTCGGTTTGAAAAGGATGCAATTTTTCATCTTCTTTTAATTTGTTAATTTTATCCTTGATAATTTTAGTTGGAAAATTTTAATTTTACTTAAACTTACATAGAAAAAAAAATATAGTCCAAAGAATAATTTTTTCGTGTATATTCAGATTTTTCTCTGATCAAGAGAAAAATTTTGCTACTAAATCTTATAGTAAAAAAAATTATAAATGTTGACTATATTTTTTTTATGTAATCATTAACTATTATAAACCTCATTTATTAAGATGCTGTTTAGTATATCACTGTGAAATAGTTTAGAAGAAACATTTTCTACCGATGGTGTAAAATCTTCATCATCATTATCTGTTATCAAAAAATAAAGTTTTGTAGCTTATGGTTATTGTTTATGTAAACTAAAAATAGTGGAATTTTTCTTCAGATGTATTTATTGTGTATAAATTTTATGTTACGTAACGTAAAAGCTAAATATATAATTATGGAGTCGCACTTTTCTCTCTCAACTCCTGGTTTATTGTTACATTATGATTGACCAAAATAGAAAATATATTATTTATCAAAAGTTATAATTTTTAAAAATTCGTTTTACAAATAGTAACAAAAAATTTAGCTAAAAAAATTTGTGTTTACCAACTTTCTTATAAAATATTTCTTTTGTCAGCATTAATAATTAGTTGCTATTTAAACACTTAGAACTGTTTTTGTGTATAAAATATACACAAAATTATTATATAAATGAATATGAAGTAAAATTTTTACGGTTACATTTTAAATTGTTAAAAAAAAGTTAGATTATACTTGAATGACGTTATGCAAAAAGCAATCATAAAAAAATAAAATAAAAAACAAAATTTTAATAAGATGACAAATTTCTTATAATATAATTGGTAAACTAAGACTAAGGCTAAATTTTTTATTATATACCACATAAAACAATACCTCAAAAAATAACTTAAAATTAAATTAATTGAAATGTAAACTAAATACGTTATGATATAAAATATTAAAAGTAAGATGATTTATAATTGTAGACGTTTATTAAAACTAAAATTGTAGAATAGTTACTTGAAGATCTTTGTGATTTTTGATATCGATTAATTATTGAATTGTATTCTGATTGATTAATTGTTTGGGGAGGTATTGAACTTTTATAAGAATATTCTTGAGTGTCATCTATTCCCAAAAAGACATCAGTAAGCTAATAAAAATAAAAAATTATTTTATAAAATATATAACACTTTTAGGTTAGATAATTGTGTTGGGAGTAGTAAAAAATTAGGTATGTTAGGATCCAAATTAAAAGTCTCTGAATTTTTTTAAGATCGAAATTCGACTTCTTTCTTTTTTATCTTAGTTTTTTAGTTTTAGTTTTTATCGAGTTTGACATAATGCCAATGCAATCAGACCTGTTGGTCCATTGTGCGCATCTCATACCGAATTGTCTTGATTTGGTTTACCCACCTAAGTGTTATTACCAAAGTGTTGTTACATTATTCCTATTATTGTATAAAGGTGGACCATTAAGTCACCCCTATGGATGACCAAAGAGTCCTGTCTTTCCGGCGAAATTAAGTATCTCTCTGGGTCTTAGGTTTTTAATATNATTGTGCGCATCTCATACCGAATTGTCTTGATTTGGTTTACCCACCTAAGTGTTATCACCAAAGTGTTGTTACATTATTCCTATTATTGTATAAAGGTGGACAATTAAGTCACCCCTATGGATGACCAAAGAGTCCTGTCTTTCCGGCGAAATTAAGTATCTCTCTGGGTCTTAGGTTTTTAATATCTTCTTTTTCAGGAAAAGGTTTACTGAAGTAGTTTGATCTTAGTGTGGACAAGGCTTCACATTCGCACATAATGTGAAATGAGTCTTCCTCTTCTACTCCACACTTTCTGCACAATGGTGATTCTGATACCCCCATTGCGTAAGATGTTTAAGCAAGTGACCATGTCCTGTCAGTAGACCAGTCAAAGTGTTTATTTGATGTTTAGTCATGCTATTAAGATCACCCAGCAGTAAACCGAGGGTCTTGATAAACATTTTAGATTGTCTAGGTACTACCAACTACTTTCAGATTTTCGTGTGTTGTTCTCTGCACCAATTCTTGGGTAGTGCTTTGAGTGATTGCTCAGTGAGTCCTACCACCGGTTCTAGTCCAACATAGGTGTTCTCTGCTCCTTTCCTGGCTAGAAAGTCAGCATTTTCATTTCCATTGACACCGTTGTGTTTCCTGCATTCAAAGACAAGCTTTGAATCCACCTAATCATTACAAAGTGCTTTCAAAGCCGCTTGACTGTCATTTAAGATAGTTATCTTCCTATTCTTGTATACCAGCAGGTTCTGAGCCCCTACCAATATCGCCATCACCTCTGCTTGAAAAACAGAGGGTGTTGTGCCCAAAGATATGTTAACATTTATTCGTGGCTTTAGGCCTCAGATGCCAGCACCTACCTTTCCTGATTTTTTGAATCCATCTGTATATATTACAAATCCTCCTCTTTCAGTCAGGCGGTTAATATTCCATTTTCTACATGTACTGATTTCCACTTTGTAGGGAATTAAGAATCGGTTTGATATAGTCCATGGAGTATTCCAAAATGTCTTTGTTTATCTCTTTTATTATTTTACCGTGTTCTGCTGTGTTACTCTCCAAAGTCCAAGTACCTAAGTTGTGGAATCTTAGCGCTGTGGCTTTGGCTTGAGCTTTAACCTCTAGATGTAGAGGAGGCAATCCGAAAAGTGTCTCGAATGCGACAAATGTTGTAGTACTTAATGCTCCAATGATGGCTATGGCAGCCATTCTCTGTATGCGACTAAGTTTTTTCGTAGATGTGCCAAGTGCTGTTCTGGTTACCAGACTAGGGCACCGAACAATACCATAGTTTTAATCACTGAAGTGTACAATCAATACATAACTCTTAGTTTAAGATCCTATGTCTTCTCCAAGGCTCTGCTGCAAGTCCACAGTGTGGTCAATGCTTTTTTGATTTTTTACTCAATGTGTGATTTCCATTTTAGCTTACTATCTGAGATAATACCGAAATATTTTACTTCCGATTTTAAGCTAATTTCTTGTCCATTTAGAGTAAAAGTTCCAAGACTGTCTAGTCCTGTTCTCTTTCTAGTGAACATAACGCTGCTTTATTTGGATTAACAGATAGACCATACTTACTACACCATATATGTATAGTGTTTAGTCTCTGTTATGCTAAGTCTATAATAGTGTCTGGGAATTTACCCACCACTGCTATAACTAAGTCATCCGCATAGGCTTGTGTATAATAGTATTTGTTTAACTCTTTAATAAGCGAGTCCAATACTAGACACCATAGCAAGGGAGGTAGAACTCCGCGTTGTGGACATCCTGTGTAACACTCTTGATTACTTTGATTTCATTGAGCTGTTCCAAAATGGAGCGTTCCTCAAGCATGATTTCTATCCATTTAGTAATAAATGGTTCTATTCCATGCTATTATGCAGATTCACAGATAGCATCGAAGGGAGTATTATCAAAAGCCNGTTTCTATCCATTTAGTAATAAGTGGTTCTATTCCATGCTGTTATGCAGATTCACAGATAGTATCGAAGGGAGTATTATCAAAAGCCCCTTCGATGTCCAGGAATATACCTACTGCATACATTTTATTCTCCACAGCTTCCCCTATCTTAGTGGTTAAGCAATGTAGAGCTGTATCAGTAGATTTCCCCGTTTGATACTCATGCTAGTATTCATGTAAAGGGTTCTCCTTTAGAGGCCCCTCCTTGATGTACCTATCAATAAGTTTCTCCATAGTCTTAAGAAGAAATGAAGTAAGACTTATTGGCCTGTAGGATTTTGCTTCATAATAGTTAGTCCGGTTAGGTTTGGGTATAAACACCATCCTGACCTTTCGCCAGCTTTCCGGTTGATAACCATAGGCAAGGCATGCCCTAAATATTTTGCAGAGATGGGGAGGATTATCTCTAACCCTTCTTGCAGAAGTGCACGGAAAATTTTGTCACAGCCTGCAGCTTTAAAACTGTCAAAGGCTTTTATTGCCCATCTTATTTCACTTGGGGTTATCACTTTCCTGGTTAGTCTCCAATCAGCACAGGTCACACGTTTGTCTTGTGCATCATGTTCCTGTTCTCTGTTGTTAATTGCAGAGTCAGGAAAATGTGTTCATCAAATGTGATAATGTTTCATTATCGTTATTGGTGAACATTCCGTCTGGCAGTAGTATTGCCTCGACAGTTTTGTTTGGTCCATTCCTTAGTCATCGCAGAAGTCTAGTTGCTATAGGGAGTTGTTGTATATCCCCACAGAACTTCTTCTAGCTTTCTTTTTTGGACTTTTTCAATGCAGATTTGTAGTTCCTTTGGGCGTCCTTATAGGATTCCCAGTGTTGTTCCAAACCTGATTTCATTGCTTTATTTAAGAGCTTACGTGAACTCTTTCTTAATTTAGACAGGTTAGCATTCCACCAAGCTACACCCTGCCCTGTACCTTTCCTTTCTATTAAAGGACAGTTTTCTTTGTAAGCTGAGACAATGGAGTCCTGTAGCATATTTACAGCCCTTTCAGTACTCTGTCTCGACCCCAATCTAAACTGTAGGTTAATCAGGTCACGAGAGAGATCTGCCCTGTATTTGTCCCAGTTTGTTCTTTTCGGGTTCCTATAGTACTCCGTCTCAACTTTGTTAATTTCCAAAGTGAATCGTAAGTGCCTATGATCAGAAAGAGAAGGTTCGGAGGACACTTTCCACCCTTTTATCTTTTGAAGTAACCCTTTTGAACAAACTGTTAGATCAATGACTTCCTGCCTGTTCCTGATAACAAAAGTAGGTTCACTACCTCTGTTCAGTATACTTAGGTCTGTAGTCAGCAATAGATCCATTATAACCTCTCCTCTTTGGTTGATGTTACTGCTCCCCCAAATNAAAAAAATATATTTGATTTTGTCTCCACATTATCGCTCAAATGTTTAGATCTCTTCATGGGATTCATTTGAAATACTGTTTTATTTCACTCATTCAAAAACTGGCCAAGTATTATAAATCAATATGTATAAAGGAGCAATGTTATTCATAAAAGTAAAGTTAATGAACTATAGTAAGAGCAAACTTGACCACAATTTAGATATCAAGACATTGATAGGAATTTTAGGAGATAGGGGGTAGGAACTTCGCTATTTTTCACAGTTAAGTTTTTGTTGAGGATTATCATTTCGTTGAAATTAAAAAAATATATTATTGTGTTTTTAGATTAAGTTTTATATTATCTATTTTTAATTATTTATCTCTAAAAAAGAAAAATTATGGGTTGATAACAGTTTTATAAACATATCAAGTACAAGCATTCAAATAGAGTGATGTGAAACTGCAGTTTAGGCTGCAACCATCTGCGTTCCATTCCTACTTTATGAACTAAAATGCTCATAACTCGATGAGTACTTGTCCTGAAATTGTGTTCGACCAATCATATTTTTTGTAAGAATAGAGTTAAAAAATACTATTTCAACATTTTGAAAAAAAAAATTGTTATTTTCTCTATTTGAGATAAATAATAAAACATCTATTTTAAATGTAGTAAAAGAAGAAAATTATTATAAAAAAAAAATGTCAACTAAATGATAACTGGTTAAAAAGTTATATGCGTTGTAAGTTAGATCTGAGACACTTGTATATACAGAGTGATTTTTTTCACGCTAATCACAAGATTTTTCATCAAATAATACATTATTTTAATAATTTATTTTGGATTTTGTAAGCTACACATGTATATTCATTTATTTGTTGTAAAATAATTTTTAGACCTATTCCTTATAACTTATAGGGATGTCAACTTTTTTTAAATGGTAACATACATATTAAACTAGCTTGTAAAATAGAAAATAACATAATTAAGAAAATGACTGGTCAACAACAAAACCTTGGAAGTTATTAGCATTTTACAATATTGACTCGAGCTGAAGAGTATATGTTATTATTTTTATTATTAGTCATTTCTCGGGTACTCTCCTCCTTCCGCCTAGATACAAAATTATGAATAACCCCTGATGCATAGGTCCAAAAGTTGTTAATCGATATGTCTTTTTTTTAATTAGATAATTTTCTATTTTATAAGCTAGTTAAATATGTATGTTGCTATATAAAAATAAAATTGACATCCCTATTAAACATAAGGGTTGAACATATAAAATGTTTTATAACATATAAATTCAAAAAATGTATTATGGCTAGCGTTAAAAGAATCACTTTATATATATAAAATTTCTATTACCTATTAANCAGTAGTTTAGCTTAAATGAAAAACTTTGGCTACTTAAGGTAAAAAATCCTTATTAGAAGGGGAAAAAATATATTTGATTTTGTCTCCACATTATCGCTCAAATGTTTAGATCTTTTCATGGGATTCATTTGAAATACTGTTTTATTTCACTCATTCAAAAACTGGCCAAGTATTATAAATCAATATGTATAAAGGAGCAATGTTATTCATAAAAGTAAAGTTAATGAACTATAGTAAGAGCAAACTTGACCACAATTTAGATATCAAGACATTGATAGGAATTTTAGGAGATAGGGGGTAGGAACTTCGCTATTTTTCACAGTTAAGTTTTTGTTGAGGATTATCATTTCGTTGAAATTAAAAAAATATATTATTGTGTTTTTAGATTAAGTTTTATATTATCTATTTTTAATTATTTATCTCTAAAAAAGAAAAATTATGGGTTGATAACAGTTTTATAAACATATCAAGTACAAGCATTCAAATAGAGTGATGTGAAACTGCAGTTTAGGCTGCAACCATCTGCGTTCCATTTCTACTTTATGAACTAAAATGCTCATAACTCAATGAGTACTTGTCCTGAAATTGTGTTCGACCAATCATATTTTTTGTAAGAATAGAGTTAAAAAATACTATTTCAACATTTTGAAAAAAAAAATTGTTATTTTCTCTATTTGAGATAAATAATAAAACATCTATTTTAAATGTAGTAAAAGAAGAAAATTATTATAAAAAAAAAATGTCAACTAAATGATAACTGGTTAAAAAGTTATATGCGTTGTAAGTTAGATCTGAGACACTTGTATATACAGAGTGATTTTTTTCACGCTAATCACAAGATTTTTCATCAAATAATACATTATTTTAATAATTTATTTTGGATTTTGTAAGCTACACATGTATATTCATTTATTTGTTGTAAAATAATTTTTAGACCTATTCCTTATAACTTATAGGGATGTCAACTTTTTTTAAATGGTAACATACATATTAAACTAGCTTGTAAAATAGAAAATAACATAATTAAGAAAATGACTGGTCAACAACAAAACCTTGGAAGTTATTAGCATTTTACAATATTGACTCGAGCTGAAGAGTATATGTTATTATTTTTATCATTAGTCATTTCTCGGGTACTCTCCTCCTTCCGCCTAGATACAAAATTATGAATAACCCCTGATGCATAGGTCCAACAGTTGTTAATCGATAAGTCTTTTTTTTTAATTAGATAATTTTCTATTTTATAAGCTAGTTAAATATGTATGTTGCTATATAAAAATAAAATTGACATCCCTATTAAACATAAGGGTTGAACATATAAAATGTTTTATAACATATAAATTCAAAAAATGTATTATGGCTAGCGTTAAAAGAATCACTTTATATATATAAAATTTCTATTACCTATTACAAAGTGGAATAGTTTTATATTAGTTGCAAATAATTTACGCAAGATAAGTTTTAAAGTTACCTTTTGTTCATAGACACAAGTGATTGTCCAGTCTCCATGGACAGATTTTGGAGTTTCGTTAATTATAGAGTTATTATTGTGCTCTGCTAATACTATTTCTATGACAAATAAAGTATTTTTTACTATTTCTTCTTCTCCAAAATTTTCTAGATCATGAAAATAACATTAATTATACAACTAAATTATTTAAATAAATTTTTCCATAATCAACTGAAAAATATCGTGCTATTCCTTGAGAACCTAGGTTAAGTGAAATTTGTAAAAGGTTTATTCGAATTGAATATCAATACTTATAAACACTGAATGCATTTATGGAAGGGAAACCAGAAGAATGAAAGATCTCTTAAAATTCATGAATTATCCTAATTTTTGATTAAAAATAATACTTATAGAAGAAAAAAAAACCCAGCACAGTGGGGTTGTGGCATAGTTGGGTTCAGTATAGATGATATCTGAAAGTGATTAAAATCACTATCATAAAAAACGCTTCAATGCAAATCTGTAGATAGTGTTTAATTAAAAAAAAAAATTGTCAAAAAAGTAGGTCAAGTGAGAACTGAGAAAATAAATCATAGCTACAAAAAAAACCACATAGTAAAATAATATTAATATGAATTTCTTCTCACGAGAGGAGATTACAGTAATGGGATCCACGATATTTATTGAAGTTATTGAATCTAAATGAGATAAAAATCAAATGAGTTAACACATTTTTTTCTAACTCAAAAAGAATTAAGAAAAAATTCAGTGTCACACGCGTGAAAGACCCAAGTGTTACCGTCTCAGAAATCGTACGTCGNGTGTCACAGGCGTGAAAGACCCAAGTGTTACCGTCTCAGAAATCGTACGTCGCATTCGTCACTTAATAAAAATGGAAATTTAGCTAGTTCAAATTTTTAAGTTATTTTTCTCGACTTCAAAGAAACAAAAAAATTTAAATATGTTTAATTTTTTATACTATGTCATTTAGATTGATATAATGTTTATGAAAATCAGTGTAATCCCCTTATAATAAAATAAAATACAAAACCAAGAATTTTAACACAAAAATAGCATATTTACGGAAGCTATTTTCACCATTAAGACAAAATAAAGTTCGAAATTTTTTTTTTTTCATATTAAAGTATATTACATAAACCTTAATTTAAGATATATATAAAAGTGTCAGTATTTCCGGAACACTTTCAAAAATTAAGTTAAAAAAGTTTTACTTTCTATATGCATTTTAAAAATTTAAATCCCCTCTGTATTAAGGGAACTGAACCGATTTAAAAAAAAATATGTTAAATTAAAGAGGTATATAAATATTATTTCTCATGAAAAAATTGTATTGATCCATACATTTTTCAAAAAGTTATAGCATAATAAAGTTAAAAATGTAAAATACAAAATCAAAAATTTTCACACAACAATAGCATTCGGTAGCCATTTTTACCGTGAAGACAAAATAAAGTCCGAAATTTTTTTTTCCATAATAAAGTATATTACATTAGCTTTAATTTAAGATATATATATATAAAAGTGTCAGTATTTCCGGAACATTTTCAAAAGTTAATTTTTTGTGAAAAAATTGTCATTTTGAATCCCCCCCTGTAAGCTGGTAAAGGGTTAAATTTATAAAAAAAATATATCAAATGATAAGTAAAGACATCATGCATCTATATAAAAAAAATTATATTGATTACTCAACCTTGATGCATGTGATTTAAATTTTAAAGTAATACCTGTAGTGTTCATTTAATGAAGGGTATTCAGTAACTAGAATAGTTTATTTTTTAAATCACTAATTTCTGAAGCGATTGGTCGTTGTTTGTCGTTAAAAATCTCCTATGTGTAAATAATAATGGTTAAAAATTTTGCTTTCCTTAGATTCAAACAAAAATATTCCACCTAGTAATAGATATTAAATGTTTTGCATATAGGAGGTATTTCACGTCAAGTAAAGGTGTTCATAACTCAAAAATCATTATGTTACAAAATTTGCCTACCTTATTTAATTTTATTTCTTTAAAAATTCTAAGTCATTAAACCGTTCTTGCCTAATAATTATTGTTTCAGTAATATTTTACTATCTTTACATTTATGCTGCATAAAAAATCTTATTTTTTCAATTTTAATGTAAAAATTAATTATTTTAACCTCAAAACTTTTACATACTGTTTCACATAGATGCGAATTGGGTGTATATCGAGGGACTGATCAGTAAGAAAGCTCACGGAGAGTTAGAAGAACACATTCGAAAATATCGAGAAGCAATAAAGTTGATTATAATGATTCATTTCTAAAAAATTATTCTTTTATTAAAGTTTCTATAGTTTATCATAGTGTTTTATACATAAAGTATTAAAATATGATTAAAAAAGTGATAATTAAAAATANTAAGTATTAAAATATGATTAAAAAAATGATAATTAAAAATATAAGTAAAAAGTTACTTAGTTCGTTCTAAAAATTACCTCATAGGCACCTTTACTTACTAGACAGACTATCGGGTTTGTAATATAATTATTTTAATCCTCTCTAAGAAAATTTTCTGTTTTACTTTATTAAGTAATTTATTATAAATTGATCTTTAATCTACCTAGCCAATACATGACCAAAGTTTGGTCTAAGATATGCATCTACTACGTTTTGAGTGGTTAATTCTGTTTTCTCTAACGATTTCTTCAAACAATGATCCAATTTATAAAACTTATGATTATTAGTGCAAGTATGCAGTATCTCATTTGGTCGACCAAAAATTGAGATTTTGCATCCGTTTTGCAAACTTTCTTTCGATTCTTTTGAAACCCATCCTATCAATGTATATCCCCTATTGGCTCTGCGAACCATAAACATGTTTCGAGTACTATTTACTGGATGTACACATTTGTCATTTTCAAATAAGCACAAATTCACTAAACATCCATTACTTGTGCCATCCTTCTTTGAAACTAATATTATATTAGGTACTGGTTTCTTAGAGCAAAGTAATATTTGATTAGCATTATGTAATGGAAAATTAAATTTTTAGAATACTTACCGTCACTGAGTGGGTGTTTAATTGGAACCTAAAAAATAATATATAATTATCAATAGTTAATTCATTAAAATCAATATCTTGGCTAATCATAACACCATAGTTTTGAAGGCAATCTCTAAATGGATGATAATTTGTTTGCATGTTAACCAACGTATCGCTAGATTATAAGAGCAATTTTATAATTAGAATTAGAAATGTTATAAGCAAATTCTATGTATTTAGATAATTGTTATACTTACTATATTATATCAAACATATTGTCTTGTATACCTTTAATAATGTCAGTTTTAAATGAATTCCTATTAATAAATAAAATGTATTATAAGAAAAATAAAATACAAATAGCTTAAAGCAAAAACTCATTATCTAAAACTGATTTTCGGGAATTTTCCTACTAGGAAACTATTTAATTGTTTTTAGCTTTTTAATTACATAAAATTAATTTGTTTTCATGTTTATCACCATAAATTGTCAGTCGTAAACACATAATTTTTTTAATGAAGAGGAGACAAGGCCCTTTTGTTTTTGCTTAATTCTCATTTTTATTAGCACGAAAGTCTTACACTATATATTTTAATAATTGACCAATAGGACAGTCTTGCCAGCTCAGGGTTCTACGTACGCCATTACTTATTATAGTTTAATAATAAAAAAAATATCATACTTATTATATTGTATATATAATTTTTAAAAATATTACCCTATCTTACAAATTTCTAAAAAATGATAATTGATTCAATAGGCAACAAACATGATTTTTTTTCAGATTTAGTTTTACATTACAGCAATTTATATAAAGTAAAGATTATATTAAGGATTTAAAATGTAGTTCAAGATTAATTGTTTTTAATAAAACCGTAGTTATGCTTAGTTTTTCAACTTAACCATTATGCTATTATTATATTATCTAGAATAATCATAAAGATATAACACACATGTCTCGCTCAGAAAAAAAATAATTATATGGCGAAGATACCTTTTTTTTCTTTTAGTGAGAAAGTTAAAAATATTCTTACAGATATTCTCCCTCAAGATGGAACCCTAATTACGCACTAATTATGTTATACGGTTATATTGTCGATAATGTATTTACTGAGAGTAAGTTAAATACATCGATGTATGCTTTTTAAGAATTAGTATTTTTATAGAGTAAATAGAAATTTACATACCTAAAATTTTTTGACAAATTCTAGAAAGTTTGACTTTCTACTATAAAATTTTAGTGTCAAAATTTCAAAATGTTGAGATGCCTCATTCAAAAAGGAAATCGTATTAATATTTTAAAAATATAATAATATTTTACAATACAAAAATTAACCATTATAATTGCTAAAATGGAAAAAGTGATCATATAATCCACTATAATAGCTTTTTTGTACTAAAAATGTTATAAATAAATTAGCCTTAATCAAAATGTATAAACTTATTATAGATTAGGAACCATGTATACATTTTTTATCGTACACATTATTATTATAATAATTTTATATACTTATAAAATAAAAAAAAAATTTCTCTCCAAATTTTTTCCATAAACCTTTGGTAAAATATTAAAAGGTACTTTGAAAAATCCGCGTTTATTGGAAAATTATACAAATAACCTAATTATTATAATGTAGTAGTACTGAGTACAGACAACTTTAATAAAATTAGTTTAAGAAATACTAATATTTTACTCAACATTTAGTTTAAACACGATTTTCAAGTATTTTTACTTTTACATTTATTTTACTAGAGCTATTTAATGAAAAAAGGTTAAAGTTAGTTTAAGTTTTTTAAATTCGACTCATTCAATATTAAAACTTTTAACAGCTTATGCTCTAAGCTACTACTAATTAATAAAATTGTTAATACAAGTTTTGTACTTTGGCGAAGAACTTTTGATCGTAGTTTTGTTTTTAGTGTATTGCGATTTTTTTAAACCCATATTAATTGATTTGTCGTCATTAGTTTTTGTTTCTTTACTTGGTTGAACATCAATAATTATATTTTGAGAGTTATCTCGTTCTTTCCTTTCGTTTTCTAAAATTTGTGCTATTTGATCTCTTCCTAGAGTTCTTTCTTGAAACATTTCTTGAAAATTTGTTAAGATTTCTATTATAGTGATATCTTTAGGACAGTTCTTTGTAGCCCAATTTATGATAGCATCTTGCACAAGCTGTACAAATAATATATCAAATAATAATATATTAAATTTAATTAAATCAGATTATAAGTATTAATTATAATTTCCGATTTATACTAATTTTTTTTTTTGATACTGTTTCACTTAGTATTTTTTAATCGATTTGTAGGATTGTGCTACATACTACTATTCTCTAAAATCTTTTATACGTAGCAATACATTAATATCAAAGTCCTTAGTAAATTTGTAAATTATATTTAAGAAATATAAAAGTTTAATGGATGAAAATGTAAATAATGTTGTTCATTAATGAACGTTATTCAAATTTTAAAAAAATTCAATTTTTATTATACTTATACTTTATTTTTTACATTAGTGCGAAGCTTTAAAGACAATAACTAAAACTGAACTTAACTTAACTGAAAAAAACTATTTTGATAAAAAATTTACTTTTCGAATGTCCTTACATCTGTTTGCTTTGTCTAGAAATTGTTCATTGATCCCTATCGTAGGCATAAATGATAAATAGAACTGTAGTAATGCCTGATCATGATTATTAGTGTGGGTTTCAGCAACACTTAACTGAGTAAAGGCTTTTTGAACATTAGCTATAATAATAAAGTATTATTATTTAACTGAGATATATTAAATCTTTTTTGAACTAAGTGCATCAGACTTTATAACTGAAAATGTATACAAGGAAAAATAAGTTTTATCAGAAAATGTTCATATTTTTCTCATAATTAGTTAATTGTAAACATGTAAAAATAAATGTTTTAATTTTTAAGAAAAATACATTTAATGATATTTAAAAGGGTAATTTTTGAGTTTTAAATGGCATTTATTTTTTTGTTAAACAACAATAGTTATAAGTATTAACATAGATTTAGACTAACGTTGATCCTAGAGATGATTGATAATTGAATCGGTCATTTCGAAAAGGCCATTTCTCCACATTTTTTCAAAACTACTTTTATGTGATAGATGTGTTTATCTAATAATAATGAATAACGTTCCTGCGAGACCGTCATATATCCAACAACTCGTTATAGTCTAAAAATAACGAGTGCATTCGAAAAAGCCATTTCTCCAAAAATAACTTGATCAGCAATTTTATTTGTTAAGGTTTTAATTAATTTAATTAATGTAATACATACTAGAAGAAAAGAAAGATTTTTGGAACGACATTTTTAAATGGTCGACAACAAACGAAAATGAAAACCCTGAAGAAGATTTTTAAGAAAATATGTAAAAAAGTTGTTTTTTTACATATTTAGTAGTTAAAAAGTAAACTATATATATTTTTTTTTTAATGAACTGAAAAGAAGTGATATTTTTTTTTTGTCAAACTAAAAAGTTAATATAAAAATTGTTTTTATTGTTATTTTACATATAAATAGTAATCAAAAAGTAAACTATATAATTTGTTAAAAAAATTAACTAAAAAGAAGTGATGTTGAAGTTCATAAATAAAATTATGACAAAGAATGCACAGTATATTTTGTAAGACTAATTATTTAATTTTATATGATATACAATAAACAATTAATCAGAGTCGCGAGGTCATATCAATGAAAATTTACAATCTATTGGAAAAAGCTATACCTCAAACACGTTCATTCCCTCATAAAATAATCCAATAGGTATAAATAGTTAATATTACATCATAGTTGGTTTTTTATAAGGGAATTCAATAATTCAACTCTTATTCAATTTTAATCTAAATTTATTTTGATCTTTAAAAACAGTTTTTTATGTTTCCTGAAAAATAAAATTTTATGGAGATATGGCCTTTTCGAAAAAATCGATTCAGTTATCTATTTAATAAATTTTTTATCTTTTAAGTTAGAAAAATAACAGACATTGGAATTTATTTTTGGGTGTAAGAATGTTTTAAATGAGTAAAAGAAACAAATATTAATTATGATTTATAATAAAATCTTTGTTATCAATTATTATTAACATTATTACAATATGATTTATTTTTGTTTGTCGCCAATTTTTCTCAGCTCTCAAGGATCGATTTTTTTTAATGAAACAGTGCAGCTTAGGGGTATAATTACGGTTTCGTTCTGGTTGGATTTATTTTCTCAGAGCCCATTCTTTGGCATAGAGGTCGCGCAAATATGATTTACCCCAAAAATAATGCGCCATTAATGATTGCAAATCATTTATTTAAATTAGATACAAAGTGATAATCACTGTTGTTTAATAAATGTATTTAATAGTAAATAATATCTTAAGATTTAAATTTCTATACCAAATTTTATAGAAAAAATTAAAATATTGTGCTAAAAAGTCTTACTAATAAATAATGACAACGATTTAGGCTGAATAGTAAGGGCTCTGAAAACTTCTTCTTCTGAATTATAAATGGTAAATACTACAGTTGATTCAATAGTAAACGAATATATTTCTGGAAGATCACCCCATATCCTTAACAAGGTGTATCTGAAATTCTCTGATATATTAGTCAAATTATATGTATATATATAATATATATAAATATATATATATATATATCTTGTATACCCAGATTTGATTTTAATAATATTCGCAAATGAATGCTTGGACCAAATATACAAAATAGGAGTGGACAATTCGACCTTGTACCATTGAAATGTTTCTATTGCAACAAAAGGATTTTCGATTCGATTTTCAGTATTAGCAATCATCATTCCTCCATTAAGAGAAATATTTTGACAAGCTGTGAATGTGAATAAAATAGACTCGCAGTATTGTGATTCAATATCTGTTTATATAATTCTTATGTTAAGATTATTGACTTTATTTTATTATACTTTATTTTATTATTCATATGGTATATGAAATTTTTTGAAGAATAAAAATAAATTTTTTAACTAAGAAATAGATAGATTTAATAAATAGATAAACAAAGTCGACCACAAACAAGGTCGACTTTGTTTTTTTTATAAAAATTAATAATTAGAAAAAAATTATTTTAATGAAAAATGTAATATTTTCAAAATGTATTTTATATATTAATGATTTAATTTCTTAACAATGTTCAACTTTAAAAGTATTTGAATATAAGTTTTATTTGGCTTAAAATAAGGAGTCGCCCTAGTTGGTATAAACGTATGTTCTATCGCATGGGGTCCTGAGTCCGATCCCCAGAGTGCCAAAGAAGTTTTTCTTGTAATATTCTCATTGGTGGTGCCTGATTTATGGTTTAAGTCGGCCATAATACCCGTCATAATTGGACCTAACCAAGAGCCATTTTGACTCCCTATTTGTGAAATATGGCCACCACCTTCTGTAGAATTTTAAGTTCACGATTTAAAAGGATGTAAAACTGATCGCAGAAGACAAAAATTATAGTAGTTAAGCTATGAAACACATATTGATTGGTAATCCAAATTAGTTAGTCAGCTGTAATTAGGCAAGAATCCCGTGAGGTTGATAACAGTGATTTTTCTTCTTATCATAATTTTTACATTAAGCATATTTTATCATACTATTGTAGTAGGATAAAGCGATATTAAAAAGTAGAATCAAAATTTATAATAATATGTCGTAATAAGAAAAAGTACATTTTAATATACATTTATGATTATTATACTAATCAAGTAGTAAGTGTTAATTGTCATAACAGTTAATATGCGTATATAAACTCTTATCAAAAATATCAAAATGAAAATCACTCAATTCATTTTTCACAGACATTAACCCTTAAATAGTCGCGTGGGGGTCAGCATACCCCCACATAAATAAAAACGGATGTATTATATTGCATAAAAGGTGTTCATAGATATAAATTTAGAAGATAGTTTTTATAGTAATATTGAATCGATTTTCATAAATAAATACCTTCGAAAAAAAAATTTATGACTTAAAATATTCATCAAAATTGAAATGGGTCATATTTACCCCCACGCGACTTGTAACGTTATAATTATTTTAAACTTGTATTTTTTTCGAAATACCGTTTTATCGTAAATGCAATGTTATAATCGATATAATATTGTGGAATTGGAATTATGTGGATCTGCCAAAGACTGTGCAATTAAGTTTTAAAAATAATTTTTTTTTTTTCGTAATATAATTTTTAGTAATGCACATAATTTTGTAATTTATTTATTTTTAAATTTTAATGATTGAATTTTTATCCATATTTATATATCATATGGTTTGAATTAAAAAAAATTAACTTTTTTATACATATTTTATACTTTTTTAGACATGGGGTCTGATAGACCCCCACTCGACTATGAATGTTAAAAATAGGCACGCCCCAGCTAAAGGGCTAAAAGATTTATTGGAACATTCATTTTATAATTGTAAAAAATGACGGTCACATAAGATAGCTTTAAACTTCTTAAATTTGGTCTCAAAACGTGAAACGATATAATATCAATATTTCTAAATAATTGATCTCATTATCCAACAAATTAAATTAAAAAGCCACGTAATATCTACATATTTCCTCTTAGTCTCAAGTGATTCTATATAATAATATATCATTATGTTATTATTTGTTAAATTTTTAACTCTTATTTTAAATGCAAATATTTAAATACATTTTGTTTGTAAACAAAATTTGATTTTTTCTAAAATTTTGATTAAACCACTTTGATTTAGATTCTAAGCTATTAAACCAAATTTTAGTATCGACCTTACATTTGAAAAATACAATATTTTTAAACAGGATATTTCCAAAAGTTCTTTTGACAAAACCTAAAATTCTTAATGCTTTATTTCGAGTAACTTTAAGATGATAATTAAATGACTAATTACTTGATAGCAAGGTAGCCAAATCTTTTACATGTTAAACACGAGTATATTTGTGCTAATTTATTTATTTTTAAATATTGTTAACCGAGAGCGAGTAAAAGTAATTTGTACACACTTATCAATGTTAAGCTCAAGTCGATTTTAAACACCAATTACGGAATGAATCAATATCGGACTACATCATTGCAAAGTCAACGTCACTTTAAATTTCAGAAAGTAAATTTAAATCATAAGCAAGTAATAAGTACTTGAAAAACTTATAAACCGAACAAATATCATTAATAATTAAAATAAACAAAAATGGCGACAAATGACTCATTTAAAGAGCCATTTAACATAATGGGACTTTCGATGTCGGTCAATGTGATGAACAGCCGAACTCACAACATCAATCCAACTTGAGTAAGTCTCTGCTAGTTTAACACACTACTTCCTCCATACCAAAAATTACTTCAACTATGATAGCAATGGTCTCTAATACCCATACTTTGAGCTTATCTAAAATAATATAATGATTTACCGCACCAAAAGCTTTACTCAAATTTGTAAAGATTGTATCACTTTAACAGCAGATTCAACAACATTAACAAGGTACGAACAGTAAACAAATTAGACATCAGAACAAATAAATTTAGACTTTCGAAAGCCATGCTGACATTAATTTGTAATAACATGTAATTTAACACATTTCATAACACAGTTGAAAGTTTTACTGTATATACACAAACTAGGTTGATGATTAAAAAAAAAATATTAAGAGCTTCGCAAAATTGTTTCGAATAAGGCTCTACATTTTTAGTGCTTAAGAGAGTATAACTAGTTAATAATACTTAAAGATATATTTTTGCTTGTGATGATGCCATCCTCTTTATAGTTAACTCCATCAAGAGTATGTATTTTAGAATTTGATTCATAGTAGTTACCTACTCCTTTAACTAATGATGGTTATATCTGCACGATCTAATTGTAAAAATCTAAATTTATTAAACACTTAATTTTTTTTTCTTTGTTTATGCGTGTGATTACATTACTTTACAACACCTAACTTTTAAATAAAAACAATATTGCTCATCTAAGATATATGAATAATATACTTAAAGGATACGCATATAGACACATTGATCCCGTTCATTGTTTTTGAATTCTAAAAATTGTATTGATTTAACAAAAGGAAATGCTTCGTTTTTTTTGAAATAAATTTCTATACTTCTGAAAAAATGAATTATAAAAAAAAATAAAAATAAAATAAGTATTTGATTTCTAAATAACAATAAGTAGTTTACTCGACAAACGGTTCTAAATAAAAGAAGTCCATTTCCCTGCGTTCAGGATCTGTAGTATTTTGATATTTGTCTAATAAAATTTTCAAAGAAGATGATTGATCTAGTAAAGCCGTAAAGGGTGTACAAAAATTGATTGTTTTTCGGAATTCATTGATTTCTGTCGAAAATTAAAAATAATATAATAATTATATATATNTAATTTTACTATGATGTGTTTTTTTTGTTACGTATATTTCTTGAATTATCAGCTAATAATTACTTTAATATTATTCCTTATAACTTCTGAGGATAACCACTTTATTTTTTTAAATGGCAACATACGTATTTTACTAGAATATTTAATAGATAGTGACGTAATTAAGAAAATGATTGGTTGATTACAACTTTTGATCAGTACTTCAGAAGTTATTTGGATTTGTATATTCAAGGTTGAAGTAAGAGTAAAACAAAAAATGACTAGTTTAAAATTAGCAGCATCCACTCCTCATATTCAGTCGTAACTTTAAATTATTAATGACTTCCAAAATATTAGTCCAAAAGTTGTTATCGATCATTCATTTATTTAATTATTTCGTTATTTATTAAATAAGCTACACCCAAAGAAAAACCTCAATCAAAATTGAAAGAGAAATTTTATCAAGGGTTTATGATAATGTTTTATTAATACGAACAAAATAACTATTCTTATAAATAATTATTGTTCAAGACAAGAAAAAAAAATATCATATTGATAAATATATCATTGATTCAATAGTAATGATATATTTATCAAATTGAACAATGAATTTATTATATAGATCGAGGTTTTTCTCTGGGTGTAGTTCGTTATGCACGTTGTGCATAATTAACTATATTTAGTAATATAGTATAATATTTGAAAAAATAAGGTTGACACCCCTATAAGTTTTGAGGGATTATCCTAAAAGTAATTTATACCTGATAAATCAAGAAATATACGTAACTAAAAAATACCAAAATATTTTTTCCCATTATTATATTTATTTTGCGAGTAATTAAGTAGTTTATGTTAAACCAATTATTCTGTATTATGTATAATTAAATTTTTGAAATATATTGTATAAATTTAAAATAATTAAAAAAAAATTTTATTAATTCTAAATTCTACATTTATGAACAAGTCAAAATATGACAAATAAATAATAATAAAAAAAAATGAAACCATGCGGTTGCTTAATATTGTTGTCTACTGCCCATTTAGTCCAACGAATTGTTTTCCATGTTGGAACCTCTTCATTTTTTAACATTTCTACAGAATTGATTAAAATAGGAATAGACTGTTCACAATTAAAATGTGTTGAAGAGGAAGTTTGTATTCTCTAAAGTAGATTTTTAAGTTAAATATTGTTAAATTAATTTGTTTATAATCTAATATATATTTATTAAAATAATTACATCTACAGGGCTTGGTGACAAAAAGATTGAAGTGACGATTGAGTTTGGTGGATTAGCTCGATAAAGTGAAATATCATCCTCGTGAAAACATTTTTTTTCTGAATCATCCATAGAGTAACATTCTTTGTGAGATATTTTATTAGTAATTTTTGTTTGTTTATAATGATTTTCTATTTTTGAAGCTACTTTATAATCATTTTTTAATGGTCGTGGATTATGAGCCATAAGATCCAACCAAAGATCTTTTTTTTGAAAATTCCTTTGTAAAAAAATGTACAAAGCAATGTGATTAGTTATTTTTTGAGATTAATTTTTATTACCAACAGTTTTCACGTATGCATGTCCATCCAGTTAGACAAGTTATAGTGTTGAATTGATTAATATTTCTAACAACGGCATGAACTCTCAGAAGTCCTTTAATTAGCAATGGAAGCCAGAGATTTTTTTTATTTTTACATAGTGGCAACAAGATTTGGCCACTTTTTGATATAGGTAAGTGATCACTTACACATATCAAACGAAATTCGCCCTACAAAATATTTTGAAATTTATTATGCACTACTTATTATACAAGTATAACTTTTATCAAATATTTTATATGTGTAAATTTATCACCATGTAGAATAGTTTTAACCAATATTTTCCAAAAGGATTATATTCTGGTTTCGGATTTTTATTCCAAGTACCATCGACTTTGCACCGCGAAAAAATAATACTACATGGGTGCCAAGGTATTGGTGACTTATTTTGAAATCGATGAATGTACATTATTACATGAAACAAAATCCATTTGTATAACTAACAAAAAAATACAAACATACAATTTTTATGTATCACTTTGTCAAAAATGATTAATATAATGTTTTGTAAAAACATTTTACCAAAATAATCATTATAATAACATTTATATCATCTATTTAAGAAACATTACATTCCTAAATATCTAAATATTAGTTGGTGTATGTTATGTGTTTTTAATAAATATACTTAGTAGCTACATATTGATAAATATGTAATGGAAAATGTTAAATTTAATAAGCTTAATAAAATAATTTCTATATTTATTTATTTAAACGATTTATAAAATTTAATGATTCATTTTTTTAAACATTTTTTAAAAACAATGTGTCTGTAGCCAAAAACTTCCTTTTTTGACAAAATCAGAAAATGCAAGTTATAAAATGCAGTTGATGAGATATCAATACTTGCAGTTTTCTTATTTTCTTTTCGAATAGAGGGAAATAAATCTAACTATTGAGTTATAAGAATTATTAATATAATAAATTCGGAGTGGATTTATATACCATAATATTGAAATTTGTTAAAGATAAACAAAATAGTGTAGTGTAGAAATGAATTTCTATAGTAATTTGTTTAGGGGCGACTCAATGAAGATAGAATTATAAAAACTTCTTTTTTAATATCAAATACATAAAATCATTATAGTAAATATAGATACAAAAGGAATTTTACACTCATTGCACCTTTGAATTTGTTCTTGATATAGTGCCAAATTATTTTATGTTAACAGGGTGATTAGGATAGATCCCCAGAACAAAAATGATTATATAACATAATTACGTGAACATAATTACTTTTCTTTTGGAAGAAGTGGTGAATAGTTCTTCCTCTCTAGAACAAAACTAATTACTCGTATGTTGTTTAATATACATGTTATAATAATAATTTAGTATTTGAATATAACTGTACATTTTATGTATATCTATTATACTCAAAGAATGAAATAAAAATATAGTATTTTATAATAGACTATAATTTTTAAAACTTCAAATTGAAATTAAAAAATTGTTAGAATGATGTAACTACAATCATTTTGCTTTGTGACATTGATGCACAAAATACATTTAAGTAGTTGAAAGTTATTTCACTGTATTGGTCGCCTATTTGTTAAATAAAATATTATGAATTTTAATTGGTCGAATTGATTAATTAATAATGCGGATGCTTAAAATATTTGTATTTTAACAATGCTATGAGGCATTATGATAGTATAAAATAAAAGATTCTCATTAAGACAATTTATTATTATAATTTTTACAAAATGATGAGTATTCAAATATAACATAAGTAGGGAATTTTTAATTACTTTAACGTTCATCAAAGGTTTATTAGTAGTCATTAGTTTTAGAACATCATTGGTGTCATCATCTGGCAGAATAACCAAATCATCTGTCCCGAATAATTCATTTGGTCTTTTCCATTCTTTGACCAATTTTGTTATTTCTTTGGGTAATTGTTCATGACCACCAGGATGTGTAAATTCCAGCATCTGTTAAATATTAAAATTCATTAAATATTCTTAAATTATTAAATATTCATTTATAAAATATTCTTTAAATAATTTTAAAATGATAAGTTAATACTTACATCTTTGTATCGATCCCATTTTTCATTGTTAATAAAATCAGCTGTCCAAATGTGCCAAGGTGGTATAAACATGGAATCTTCGTATGCCATAATTAAATCCTCATGGGCAACTTTTTACAGCAAAATTGTAAGTAAAATTAAATCAACTTTAAACGCTACGCGATATATTTAAGTTACTACTAAAACACTTTTTTATTTTGAAACATTATTTTTTTTAATGAATAAACATAACTACACTGAAAAAAATCAACACATGTTTATTAATATACGTCAGCAATTCTTTTTCAAATATAAAATTTCAATTTTTGTTAAAGGAATTTCTATTGAATTTTTTTTTTTTGTAAATGTAACAAATAATACTTGTATTATATAATAAAAATATTTTTATATAAAAACAAAAGTTTTGATTTAATTAAAATCATTATTGGGCGTATATGCTAAATAATTGAGCTGGAGTTCTCCTGGCATTTTGATAGCTCTCATATCTTGGTGACAGTGATAATTTATAGATTTTTTTTAAATTTGTCACGATGAATTAAAAACAAAACAAATTCGAATTTAACTTAGGTATTATTATGTGTTACTTAGAGTAATAAGTAGCATAAGCAGGGAAGTAATGTTCACAGGGCTTGGATTCCATGATAAATTTCTATAAATGTCACTGTATGTTATGCAAATCCGCATCTAGTTTGGACATAAAATATTTAAAAAATGTTGTTTTTTTAAGTCTACAATAAATATAACTCTTATAATGGTTTAATTTAGAAGATAACATAAGTTGTCATATAATGTTGATTTCATTTTCATATTGGGATATTAAATTTTGAAGTCCAATATTACTATTATTTAAATTATTAATTGAGTAAGCAGGAACGCTTGATCACGAAAAATATTAAAATATGGAAAATGAAAATTAATTTTTATAGGTTAAATATTTTTACAATTGTGTAACCATTTTTTAAAACATTTTTTATTGTATCATCCAATATTGAAATTTTCATTTAAAATATTAAAATTTGTTGAGACTGTAGCCCTCTCCCTCGCCCTTTATCGAGTCAGCCCTAAGAGCGAGGTACGATTAACGGATCACTCTGTAAATATTATGGAACTTCTAAGTTCGACCTCTTATAATAGTTACATTGCGTGTTATTTTATGTCTAAGTCAAATTTTACATAAACATGGCATATTTAAATAGAGAATAAGGTACTGTATTATAATATCAAATATGATGAATTTTTATGGAGAATCGCACTCGAAGTACGATATATTTATACATTTTGTAAGTTAAATTATTACAATAGCAACATTCTACATTACGATATGATTGAAACCAATTAATCAAGAATAAATGAGTAAAGTTTCAAATAAATAATAGAGTTCTTATTGGATGATGTCGAATGAGAATTTTTTCTAGCTGTGAAAATGAGATTAGAATCAAACAGGATTTAACAATTACTCGTTTTCAATAGCTAACAGTCAATTTATAGCAAAATTTAAGTGTGTTTCATTAGTCTAACTATTTATAACAGGTAGCTCCCCCACTGTGTTGTAACATTTCTTTTCGCTTGCTAACCTCTACAATTGCTATTCGACTTATGAAGTCAATATGTATTTTATGATTACTCAGATCTTTAGTTAGTATTCAGATCACGTTAAACTTCGGTTGAATTAGAGTGTAGGCTGTTGTGAGTTAACGTTTATATTTAGCATCATATATTTTTGTCATGGTAATTATTTTTATTTACACATATGTAGCACATTTGTTTATTAAAGAAACGTTATTATTAATTCGGTAAAAAAATTTATTTTTCTACGCACGATTTAATTATTCAAGAAAAAATTAATCAAGGCGTGAGGCCGTTCATTACAGTGCCCTCCGATTGTCATTCATAGCTATATTCAATACACTACCAACATTTACAATTATATTATGTTTATAATAATTAACAATATCCATTGCTTCGGGGCGAGTTTCGAACATTATCCACATGACGTCGTAGTAAATTCATTAAAAACTAGAGTTAGCATATCCATATCGTTCAGAAATAAAACAACTTTGGTACGAGTCAGGTAGAGGTATCTTATCAGTGTGTATGATATATAAAAAAAATTGCCAGGTATCGGTGAATGACCGTCTCTAAATTATACTGATTGCGTACAAGAAGAAATCTAACCGTTCTTTTTTCATTTATAATAACTCAAGTGATACGGATCCACTTACGTGTATTTTGAATAAAATGAGCCTACAATTGAAGGTAAAAAATTATGTTTATTTTTAAATTCATCTATGATAATGCATTTTATTTATTATGAAGACACTATCCTTTGTATATAACCTGATAATGTTATCTATTAATTTATATTTCTCGTGTTCATGGTTCCCAAAACTAACTGTAAATAAAACATTATTGAATTATGGAATCGTAGCACTAATACCTGTGCAAAGTCAATTAAGAAGTTTACAAAAATAATTCTCTTTTATTTTTGATTGCTTACCGATAGTTCACAAAATTTGTTAAAATAGTCTTCTTATATTTTTATTTTTTAGAATTTTTAAGTAATAGTTCTTGGTATGGGGTTTATAGAAGTTTGGTCTTTTAGCTTCTAATGGAGACGTTAACTGTTAAAATTGTTTTATTATTATTTATATTATATTTTATCACATTAAATATTAATTAATGAATCCTAATACTTTCAATTCTTATATTGATCTAGTATTTAATATCTTTAATTAAATGTAGTCTTGTAATAATTGTGTTGATAAAAATTAACTCGGTCAACAAGAAGACTTATTTCAAAAGCACACTATTCATGCTTTATAAAAAATAATTTATGATTTGTGAAATTTTATGAATGCATTGAGTAAATAATTTTTCGTGTTTTTTAGTAACTATAGAAGTCACTAATATTTTTTTTTAGAGACTTCTTTTTATTATGTTAAACTATAGTCAAAATATATAAACTGTGCAATTAGCTAATTATTAAATGATTTTAATTGTTTATCTTTGATTGGCATTAAAGAAAAATTTCCATATATGATTATTAAAATAAGTAAAATTGTAATAAAATATATTCAAAAAATTACAATAAAAATTTCTCTACTGAAAATGTAGTTTTTTGTAGTCAAATTTTAAATGTTATGATTTATTTCACAGTAGCTGAAAATTGTAATTAATTCTTAAGGATTGAATAAAGAAAAAAAACTTGTTTAAATAAATACATAGCATTTCATTCTTTCATTATAGTTTTAACCTAATATTATTTCTAATGCATTTACAAACAATTGTTAAAAATATTTTTCAATTTTTGGGACATTCAAAATATCTAAATATTAGATTATGCTTATCAAGCAAATTTAGTCCATTATATCAATTCTAAAAAGTAGATCTAAAATTTTAAGTATTTTTAGTTTAACATATTGATTTAATTCTATATATATAAAACACTTTATTTGTATACTATTATACTTTTAATTTTATTCTGGAATATTATTTTTTAATTTGATAATAATAAATCTCAAATGGAATTTATACATAGCATTATTAAGTTATTTGTATTGTATGAATTCATTTTAAATAAAATGAATAATAATAAAAATTTATTCTTAATAAATATTTATTAATTTTTTTTTTTTGCAACCAATTTAAGTTATTTTTGTAATTTTTTTTTAGAAAAATGAATCATTAGTTAGGACACTTTTGAGAAGAAAAAGGGAAACAGATTTAATAACTGAACCAAAAAAAAATATTCTTAAACGTGAACTTGGTTTATTTGACTTAGTATCACTAGGAGTAGGATCAACCCTAGGTTTGGGTGCTTATGTTTTAGCTGGAGAAGTTTCTCGCTATTATACAGGACCTGCAGTAATATTGTCATTTGCTTTTGCTGCTGCAGCATCAGCCCTATCAGGTAATACATTTTTTATATTGTTATTATAGTTAGAACTAGTTTAAATATGTATTTTTCTATATTATACAATTAATTAAGTAAAGTTTTATAAGAATAAAGAGAAAAATTAGGAGAAATCTTAAGATGAGCTATTATATTGATGTGTATTGAGATTATTATTAAAAAAAACTAGTGATTTAGATAAATAAATGACTATTGATAGTGTTCAAATTATGGATCATTAATGCAATAAAAAATTAGTATGAAAATGCTTATTTTTAATTTTACATAGAATTTTTAGTATATTAATATTAGGGCTACTTTGCACCAAAATAAAAATGTCTAACCTAGTATTTGTAGTGAAATAAGTGAAAATTATTTGAGTATAAAATACTTAGTTATGGTATTTTGTAAGTTTGTATTGATTTATTATTTTCTATACTTTTTTAAGAACTTTTCTATAGATGAAAAGTTGCCTTATTTTATCTTAATTTAATCTTATTTCTTATTAAAAATCTTGTAATAAAGGCTTATGTTATGCTGAGTTTGCTAGCCGTGTTCCAAAAGCTGGATCAGCATATGCATTTAGTTATGTTGGTGTTGGAGAATTGGTAGCATTTCTCATTGGATGGGATTTAATTTTGGAGTACAGTATTGGTAAGAATAATTAATGATATTAACTATCATTTTTATATGTTTTTATACATACTTTTTTAAAACATAAATTCAGAGAGCAAAGAAGAAATATTTACAGAATATTTTTTAGGTTGTGCAAGTGTATCCAGAGCATTAAGCGGACATATAGATAAGCCATTTGGATATCCTATGAAAAATTATCTTAGCAAAAATTTTCCAATAAATGTCGGATTTTTAGCTCCATATCCAGATGTATTTTCTTTTATTGCAATAATTCTTTTAACGGGTAAGAGTGAAATAATTTTAAGTCTTAAATTAAACAACCAATTTGATGGAACAACTTTTTTCATTTAAGTATTATTTCATTTAAAATGAAATAATTTTATTAATAAAAACAATATAATATTTATATATGAATAAAATCAATAGTAAAATTAATAGAAATAATATTTTTATTTTAGTTCAAAAATAATTTTTAGAGTTATTTTAACTTGTTTTAATAAAAACTTTAAATTCCTCTAAAACAAGTAAATAAATTTTTAAAAGCTTATCGTATAAATATTAATTAATAATATTGTTATTAATTTAAAAAAAAAAAAAAAATTTTTTATATTAAATTGTTTAATAGTTTTTATTTATTTTTAAGCTATAGATATTTTTATAGAATTTCTATAGTTCTTTAATGTAAATTTGCTTACACTTATTACCAATGTATTACTGTCTTATTAATATTTCATCTTAATGTGTAGTTTAATAATATAAGTTATCTTAAAAGATTTTTAATTTGTATAAGTCTTATAAAAAAATTATTAGTAGCATTAAACAAATTTCAGTTTGGTAGAAATGATTTATGCATTTTTTTTTGAAAATATTTGGATGGAGGTAATAAAGTGTATGACAATGATGTAGTGCTAATGTCAAACTTTCTTTGTATCAAATGATAAAACAAATTTCACATGAACATTGCCATCTGTACATTTTTGTACATGTTTTTGATAATTTCTTATTATTTAATTTTAATTTTTGTAATATTATGGATATTTGTTGGGAAAAGTATGTGTCATAATATACAATCCATCCAATAATTATATTTTAACTGCCATATATGTATATAGTGATCATTGCCAATGTGTTTAAGATTGTTATCTTTAAATCTTATAATAATTGCTTGTAATTATAATTTCATAATCATAATTCGGAGTAATATAAAAGTCAAAAAATGCATAAAGTATATGTATAAACTATTAGTAATAGGTATCAGTAGTATAAAAATAACTTAATTAAAAACATTTTATTAATGAAAAATTAATTTTTATAGAATTGCTTTTGACATGTAATAAAATTATTTACTTCAATAGTTAATTAATGTATATGATTAGAGACAGGCAAAAAAAAAATTATTACTTTATAAAATATCAAATTTAAGAGCTTTAAAAAAACTTCAATTTTTATGAAAAAATGTAATAATACATAGTTTTTATAATATCTAAATAGAAACTATTTTATATGTTTTTAGTTACTATTGTTTACAATAATAGTTCTAGTAACAAAAATAATTGTTATGTATGTGTAATGTATTAATCAAATTCACATATGTTATGCATTTAAACTAAAAATTATTTTGTATTTTATATTTCTAAATATTCTTTACTTGTCAAATTATGTATATATTAAATAATTTACTATAATTGAATGAGTATATCATTTATAGTTATACATATTATTTGTTTTCGACTAAAAATTATCAACTGTAATATTTTTAGTTTAATTTATGTATACTATTAGTATGCACTGCAATTATGTTTTTATCTTGTAAAAAACTAGCTGTTAAATAACAATGAGTACTAATGCTTAATGAGACAGATATATATACGTAATTTTTTTGTCATAAAACTAGTTAACGTCGAAATAAATTAAATGTATTACATTTGTGATAAAGAATATTTTACGTTCATTGCTTACATTTAAACACTACACGAAATATTCAATGTTGCTAATCAATTTTGAAAGAAGTATATTTATTGAATATCCATTTATTTTGTTTAAATGAACATTATTTGTCAATACTTTTTATAAAAAGGTCACTTCGACTAAGTGAAAAGTTAACTTCTAATAAGTTGATTAAATTATACTTAAAAAGTTCAGTATAGTAGGGACGTGACAGAATTGGAAAAAATATAAATGATATCTGCTAATGGTTTACTTACTATCATAAAAAACGCTTCAATGCGAATATGTTTAATTTAGCAATAATTTGTATATTTGTAATTTTACAAATGCGATGTTTAGAATTTCACTCAAATATTAGAGGATTGATAAATAATTTGTTTTATCACAATATATGTATTGACAATTTTGGTCTGTTTCAAACCCTCTCTGTACCTAAGTTTTTCATTGAATTTTCAAAAAAAGTATACCAACATATTAGATTTCTAGTATATACTATTGAAATTTCATTTTAATCAATAATTAAAAAAAAAAATTATAGCAGTTATAAAATGCAGAAAATTGTTTTGAAATTGACCTTTTTTACGGTTGCTTAATTTGGATATATATTTTTAAATTTCTGAAATTGAGGGTGGTTTTCTAATTTTAGTGATGATAAGTTAAACTATTTTAAAAAGTGAGTACTGAGAATTTTCATGAATACACAAAGAAATCACCATCAAAAAACTAATACCTTCTCAGCTTCGCGTAAAGCTAAAAAACCAAGACTAATTTATGAATTTAATATAGCTTTTTATTTAATTTTTACAGGACTTATAGCATGGGGAATTCGTGAATCGTCAATCTTAAACAAAGTGTTTACAATCGTTAATGTATCTACAGTGGCTATAGTAGTATTAACAGGATTTTTTCATGGTTAGATTAAAGTCTGAAATTTAAATTTTTTACGTTAAATAATAATTTTATCAGTGAAATAAAAAAATTTTAATTTTAACAACTAAATGCTTGTAAATAGTTAATTTTCAATTAATGTGAATTAATTTTTCAATCAAAATCAATTTTCAATCAATTCAAAAAAATGTGTATATTTTAGTTGATTTTAGCAACTGGAATATACCAAAAAATGATATACCCGATGGCTTGAATGGTGGCGAAGGAGGGTTTTTGCCTTTTGGCTGGTCTGGTGTATTTACTGGAGCTGCAACATGTTTTTATGGATTTGTAGGATTCGACGTTGTTGCTACCACTGGTAAGTTTGTCTTCATTTTAAAAAGAAAATATATTGCTGCAACAGGTCTGGCGTTGGAAATCAGGGAATCTTATGGGAAACAATTTAAAAATATTCATATATAACTTCTTTTTATTTGGGCGAAGTTAAATAAATTTTGTGTTTTAATAATTAAAGGTGAAGAAGCTAAAAAACCTACAAGGGATATCCCATTGTCCATTGTTATTTCTTTGGTAGTAATTACTACATCATATTGTAGCTTAGCTACTGTACTGACATTAATGTGGCCATATTATGATCAAGTATGTATGATAAAATTTTACCAATTAAATTTAATTTTCTTATTTATGCTCCTACAGTAATATACAGAATGTTCTGTAAGTAAGGAAACAAGTCAGTTGTTACGAATAATGAGAGTAATAGAAACCCGTTTCCTTATTTACTGAACATTCTATATATAAGCATATATTACCTAAGATTATACAATTTATGGAAAATAAGTTTTATATTAATAGTTTTAAATTTTGTTATACATTTTTAATGAAAGAAAAATAATATTATTTATTTAACATTTAAATAATCACTGGACTTAAATATATTCAATTATATAATTTATTTTAGTTATCCTTGAAATTAAAACTAAGTGAGTCGTCAAATTTTTTTTAATATTGAAAGTATAAAATTCCTAATAATTTTATATTTGTTTTGTTATATATAAATATTTTATAGAACTGGGATAATCAAATTTATCCAAAGAACTTTCGTCTGTGATCAAACAATATTTATCAACAGAAAATTATTTTTTTATTTGTACATAGTGTTATTATCGACCATGTGATAATAATAATGCACATTTTGTAGTTAAAATAGATCTCTATTAACTGTAAAAGCGGGTCTAGAATCTTTTATTAAGGCGTTTTTTTTGTTTAATTCTAAGGGTTGACTCCAACTCATGATTTAAATTAATAATAACTGAAAATTTCATGTTTTTATTAATCATAAGTAAGTCAGAATTAATGACCTGACATCGCAATATATAAAGTACACCCAGAGAAAAACCTCGATCTATATAATAAATTCATTGTTCAATTTGATAAATATATCATTACTATTGAATCTATGATATATTTATCAATATGATAATTTTTTTTCTTATCTTGAACAATAATTATTCATAAGAATAATAATTATTATTTTGTTCGTATTAATAAAACATTATCATAAACCCTTGATAAAATTTCTCTATCAAAATTGATTGAGGTTTTTCTTTGGGTGTATTATGATTTTAACTTAAATAATTATTGAGTTATAATTCGTTAGTTTCTTAAATTAGTTGAAGTGGTTCAATTTATCCAATTTTTTTTTTACATTGTTTACCTAAAATCTAATTGGTTGTAGTTTAGATTTTTTTCAAGTTAACTATCTGTTTATTTCTAATGTGATTAATTAAATCATTAATAGTTTTTTTTATCATTATCGATGAATTTTACGCGTAGGACCCTGAAGCTCCTTTTACACACATTTATCAGCAACTGAATTGGACAGTGATAGAATGGATAGTTACAATTGGTGCTGTGTTTGCTTTATGTACCAAGTGTGTAAATTATTATTTGTACTATTATAAATTTTGATATTATAATTAATCGATTTTTTAGTATGATAGGTACATTATATCCGTTGCCAAGAGTGTTGTATGCTATGTCATCCGATGGTTTAATGTTTAAATTGTTTTCTAAAGTAAATTTACAGACAAAAACACCAGTTTGGGGTACGATAATTTGTGGATTGTTTGCTGGTAAGTTAATGTTTTATTCAGTTGATACGATCACATTTGATGACATTTTTTATGCCATTTAAACTTTTAATTGAATAGTTATTAAAACGGGATAAAATTAAAAACGATAATATAATTATATTTTAATTGAAAAATTATATTCTTGGTGTTTGATACGTAGTGGTATAGATATCAAATTTCATCTATATTTAATAATAAAAAACAATAATTTTATTAGGACATTACATCTTCTAAATTTTTATCTTCGATACGAATCTGAGAAGGTATTAATTTTGAGATAACGTATTTTTTTATGTCTATTTATGAAAATTCTCAGCTTTCACTTGATCAATTTTGTTGATTTATGCGTCAAAAGAATCCGATTATAATATAATTGAACCTATCGTCGGCAAAAATTAAACACACTCAATTTTAAAAATATCTGAAAATTAAGCGATTGTAAAAAAACTTATTTTGTAAACTTATTTTTCAGCATTTTAAAACTGCTATAACCAAAATTATAATAGAATTCATTTGATACGCTTTTTATGAAAATTCTATGAAAAATTTAAGTAGAAGAACAATTTGATTGAGGTCACGCATGCATGAATTAATACATTTTTTATTTAATTTATTAATCAATAATTTTTATTTTAAATTCAATTTTTGAAAATGTTCCAGGACATTAATGTTCTTCAGAACTATATAAAATTGTAGCTTTTTAAGAATACTTTTTTACGAAAAAAAGAAAAATATTCCAATGATATTTTTTCTATGAATTATTTGACTTTAAAATAAAAAAAAACGCAAAATTTGTGTTAAAATTCGTCACTATTTTCTAAAATCTGTTATAACATTTTGTAGAGTGAATAAATTATAATTTTTATTTAAAATCTTAGGCATTTTATTTTCATTAGGTATACATATTTTTTTATATCTGACTGTTTACCTGCCTATAATGGTATTCAAGGTAGCAACTTTTGTATGAAAAGTTAATCTTTTCAACTCAACTTTTCAAAGTATTCAGGAAATATTCTGAGCTGCAAGCATATGTTAAAATACAGCTTATATTACATACTATTAGATAAAAAAAATTAATGAAAATTTTAGATATAATTATTGTAAAATTTTATTTTAGCAACCTTGTCGAGCATATTTGACTTACAACAACTTATGAATATGATGTCTATTGGTACCTTGATGGCTTACACGTTGGTTTGTTTTTGCGTTTTGATATTACGATATACAGAAGAGTCAGTGGATGGCCGCAAGGACAAAGACGACGGGAGTGCATGCAATTCCATATACTCTTTATTAGCTATTTGTGTTAACTCATCAAATATTGACGAGCCAACAAAAATAACTGAGCGAACATCAATTACTATTATCATAGTTTATTGTAAGAATAAAATATTTTCCCTTTTGTCATTATGAATATATCAGACGAGATTTTATTAAATCTGTTGTTTTGTTATAGTACTAACTTCAATTTGCTTTTCTGCTGGCATAACCTTAGTTCAAAATTTTGGTGAATTTACAAGAAATTCTCTGATAACGATTGGCGTGACAGGATTGTGTCTTGTTATAATGGGTTTATTTTTGTCTCGCCAACCGCAATCTAAAAAGCGACCGTTATTTAAGGTAAATTAATTAAAATAAAACCTGATGTGTTTTACCTTTATTGTTTTTTGTAGACTTGTATGAACAATAGAGAGCACAGACTTCTAAGAATTGCTAGACAATTTTTTTTTATTCTTAATTAATTATTTGCACTATTGTATGGATGGATCTTATATCCAGAAACGTATCTAGGAATTTTATACCTTAGGTAAAAATATAACATTTCATTTTCGAAGAAAAATCGTCTTCAATTAATAATTTAATCACACTTTTAACTTATTAAAATTATTAATATATTAAATATACTTATTTATACATGCGTTCCTTTCCTTATAATACGTCTATATTTATTACTTTTATTTGGATTTTCTATGAAAAGTGTGTTACAAAAATTGATCAATTTTTCGCGTTAGTATCACTTTTTAGGTCAGATTTTAATGAAAAAATAATAATAATATTATTCAGTAGAGATGGATGGATAGCAACTGCTAGTAGTGTACATAGGGTGTTGTAAGAAGGTTAGGTTCTTAATTAGCGTTAAATAATTCAAAATTATAATTCTTGATAATGTTCGCGTAAAAATTTTTAGTATCATCTGTAATAAGATTATCATTAACTATATTGTACATATATATATGTGTGTGTGTGTATTAGTATTAGGGTGGTCGTTAAAATCGTTTTTTTGTTATTTACTTCAGAGACCCCTAATTTTTTTCAAATGGTTATAAAAATAAGATGTGCAAAATTTCAGACCGAAATGTCAAAGTTATGAAAATATGTGCCCCACAGCCTTTGAAGTAAAATAATTATCTTTTATAAAAAAAACTGTTTTTTTTCCTCGTAAAATATTTGATATTCAACATACAGATGCTTAACCTTTAAATAAAAATTTTGTAGGAATTTTAAAAATGTAATTTTTATAATAGTTAAATAATCAAAAACCGTCATTAATACTATTAATACTAAAAATATGTAAAATCTGATAATTTCGGAAAATTGTTTTTTTTTATGATATATTTTTTTAATATGGTAATAATGGAGATATAAAAAAATTAAACTATGCATTCGTATATATATTTTGATTTTGAAAACGATGGTATAAATAAATTTTATGCAGCATGATACATTTTTTTTGGTATTAATGTATTTTCATATTTTTAATAAATAATTTTATATTATTTCCGACTTAACTCACAGGTGAGTAGGCAATTATTAAACTTTCAAAAATTGTTTAATTTTAAACAATCATTTTTTACAAAAGTATTTATAAATTAATTTTTTTAATTATTTCTAAACTATTATAATTGTTTAAATATATTATTTGAAAAGTGATTTAAAAACCCTTATGTGTATACAAAATTTCATTTTGGATTAAATTAAACCGTGAACTATGAAAAGTATTTTTGAAACCAAGAATTGTTCTGGACCTAAATTTTTCTTTTGTGATTTTTTAAGAACATATAGTTTATTTGTAGGTTAGTATTTATCTATATAATTTAAGCCTGTAAAAATATTGAACATTTTTGATACATCTGTTCGATTTCAACCTACTTGTAATTTTCTACATAAGTAACGGAAAGTGTTAAAAAATGTTCAACTTTAAAATTTTAGCAATAAATAAATCAAATTATTAATTTTTCAATGTTTGTATAAAAAAATCATATATAAAACAATCTAGCAACACAATTCAATCATTTTTAGCATAAATTTTTTACTTTTTGTACTGTAAATGTTGTGGTGTACACTAAATTCATGATAATATTTTAATTAATACGAAGTTGATTTTGATATCTGTCGAATAATAATTTGTATATTATAATTTAATTTGACAATTTCAAATTTGTTTGTGGTATTAAAGTTTTTTATTAAATCATATTAATACATGATAAATAAAAATACTTTTGTTTAATGCAAATTACTTAATTAGAAAGTTTTTCTGTTGTAGGTGCCGTGGGTTCCATTTGTTCCTTGTATGAGTATTGTACTTAACATATATTTAATGACGAAATTAGACCCGTTTACATGGGTGAGATTTACTTGTTGGCTGGTTATTGGATCTGCAATATACGCATTTTATGGTTATCGTTATAGCGTTGAGCGATTTAGAGGATTGGCGACACAACACGATGTGACAACCACTTCTGAAACTGATAATATGCCAATGAATATTAAAGTTTAAACGAATTCCAATGTTTTTGAATAGGGTCGTATTTATATGAAAATGATACAACGCAATCTTAAAATTAAGCGATTTATTAGTCACCGCAAATTTTGAATCTCTGAAATACGTTGTAGTATTTTTTTGCTCATACGTAAGTGTTCGATTTACTTGACGGACATTGACTGAAATTATATTTTTAAATCGCCAAACGGAATCATTTAAATTGTTGTTTTTTTTACCTACGTCACTAAATAAATTCGCTATACAAATGATTGTCGTTTGTTTTATTTGTAAATTTATTCAAATTGTGTTCTTTATTCTATGTACATTTTACATGTGTAAAATCAATTGTTTTCGTATAAACATGTTGTTTATTTTTCAGCCCTATTTGTTTTAAAAATTTTGATTAATATACTTGATAATAATGAAGTTGAAAGCAATTTTTTATTTCATTTTAAAGAAATATTTGATAGCGGAATAATGCCGTAGTTAGAGTTGGTTTTTGGAGGGATATAGATAAGAAACAATTTTATTACCCCCTCCGAACGAAAAGTATCTGTGCCCAGTAGACGTTTTTACCGGGAGAATAAGTTCCACTTTAACCCCCTCTTTCCTGGCATAAGGATCCCGTAAAACCTAGCGCCGGCATCGGGTGAATATCTCCACTACTCCTAGTTCTGAAAGTTATCCACATCCTCATCACAAATTTCTAAATACTTCACTGGTATCGCGAAACAAAAACTTGTTTAAATGTGATGTGATAATGACAATAACAATAATAGGTTGACACAAGTTTTTTATATCCGCCAACACACAATATATCCGTTTGTCCGACCAAATAATAAAAATTATAAAGAAAAACAGAATAATAAGTTGTTAATAATGTTACTCCGAGTCTCGGACGTGTAGGCGATAAGGAAAAGTACATAAAAGTTGCATCGACGAACGTCGAAACATAACTGAACGCATTACGTGCATATATCTACAACACATACGATTGTCATAAAAATAACTGGACGGCTGATGCCAAGCGACACTAAGGTGACCATATGGCCCGTTTAAAACTGAATTGTCCCTTTTATGATAATCATGTCCCGAGCAAATATAAACGGGACGCGATAAGCACGAGTCAAATTATATGGCACGTTCGCTTCGAACTAGGTAAGACATTCCATGTGAAATCACCTAATGAGAGTGCGGCTATAGTTCAGAAATGTTCAAAATTTTTATCATCGACTTCTTGAAGGTCATTGACAAAAATAATTTTTTTTTTACCAGATAGCGCAGTATTTTAATATAAAAAGCATGAAAAAACACCTTATCTTCTAGTCTAAACTTCACATTCAAATAAGCTATCACTGTAGAACCAACACTGTTTTAATCATATTAAATAGTATTTCATTTCATTTTAAAGTTTATGAATTTTGAATTTTTTTTTAACATCAAAATTTTGATTTACATTTTTTACATATTGCAGTATTTTAATAGCAAAATTTGAAGGTCAAACACATATTTTTTTTAGTAACTAGTTCTTTTAACCCATAACCTGTTTGAATCCATTTATAATTTTTTTTGTATCGTTTTACGATCCTGAACATGTATGGTTTACTGAAAATAGTCGACTATATCATTTCATTACACAAATATGACCAGACGATTTTTTTCAAATTTACATAATACTTACTTTTAGGCAATTAATGTGTCTGGTGAAAATTTAATGATGGAGAAATAATTTTAACACCACTTATAGAGTTTCAAAAATTTCAATTTACGTACTATGGAAATTATGTAATTTTATTTTTATTTTTTATTCTGCACGAAAATAAAATACTTCATACCATTGTAAGTAACTAATTTTAAAGTCATAATTTTTTCAATTATGTATTTTATAATTCTAAAAATATAATAAAATGTTTTATATTTTTGAGTGTAATATAGAATAATTTTTATTATATTTTTCCTTTTAAGTTATTCTACAATATAATTTAATTTATTTATATATTATATATAAATATAAGTTTTATTTCTGTTTATATCAAATCTAATTATTTTGTTCTTATAATTTCCAAAATTTTTATAATAGATGAATTGAAGACTTTGAAGTTATCTTGTAAAAATGTTGACGAATATCAAGTCATTTTTTTGCAGTTCAAGTGAAAGTACCTCCAAAGAAGTTATATATAAGAACTGAATTATTTTCATATTTAGTTTACAATAGTCAAACATTGTTTTTGGCGTAAGAATATGATTATTACAAGTTTATTGCATTCTGGCTAAATAGATCAATTGCTTAACTGTATCATCCCAGGACTCTTACAGTGTGCGGTCGCAATAAAGTTCTATTCTGCTTTTAATACAAAATCTGCATTGTTATAACATATATTGTTATCATTTTTATACTGAGTGCTGGCTCTGTCAGAAAAGTAGTACATTTTTTTTTATATTTGGCTCGAAATTTTTTATTTTATTAATTAAGTGACATTGATAAACATAAACCGCATCTGTATTATGTGTCAAATGGTCACTAATAATACAAAAACATTTTGTTTATAAAGAATTATTTGAGGTAACTTTATAATAGATTGTATAAGGATGTAAAGTCGCTTGAGAATTTACCCAATGATAGCTTTGAAATTTGTCCTGGATCACTAACGTGAAGTTTTTAGTGAAATCGCCTAACACAATACACTCATTTACAGCAACAGAGATTTTCTTTTCACGATAGTACGTAGACTGAGATTTTGATATGAAATAGTGTTTTTTTAACAATAAGTAGCGGTAGAATTTTTCCAAAAATTCTGCATTATTTTGAGTAATTTTTGACAAGTGTTGAACGATCTGTGTACATCCATTGACTATATACTATCTGTTCAGTTATTGTGGTACATTTAGCATTTGACGTTTGAAATTTTCATATCCAGGGCATCGATTAAAATTATTGAGCATACATATTTTGTAATTAATATCACAGACAATACTTTTTATAAAATCGACTTTGTCTAAGTTTAATTTAGTCCTATCAATCATAAGTTTTATATTTTGATGGATCTGAAATACGCATATGGAACGTGTACCACTTGCTCCAGCTAAAACATACCATTTAGGTCTCGATTTAGCAAATTTAGAAAAACCGATTTTGTCGTTTGGTTTTCCGATTTGTAATTTATATATAATTATTTTAAATTACCCAAAATCAATCTTTTCTGTCTAGTAATTTTTTTACCATCAGCAACTCTTACATTAATGACGTCTTTATCAGAAAAATCGAAAATATTTAATCATATTTGATTATTAACACCATATCTGTGCTATTTTTTAACAGATTTGTGACACACTTCGTACATTATTAAATCGACTGAACATTCCGTAGTAATAAATTTAAACTATTTATAATTAAATACAATAGAAACCAAGTTATACGTCAATAGGTTTGTTTTAAAAGACAAAAAATTGTTATAATTATATCAAACTAAACAATTAACTCTAATGTGATAAAATACATAATTTAAATCGATATTATTAATAACAATTCACTAGTTTCCACAATACAAGTTACACACAGTACCGGATAAACCGCCGGTGCAAGCGATGCTTTGCACTGGGGCCCCGATTCTTTGAAATATTTGGGGGCCCTGATATAATGGATATAGAGTACTATAAAATAAAATTGGTACTTTGTAAAATGTATATTTTGTTTTTTCAAATGGTGTATTGAATTTTACTTGGAAAGTTTATTTAATTTATTCCCATCGATGATGAATGGCAATTGTCAATGTTTGATCGATATTCGATTGTTTAGTACTTATTTTATTAGTATATCAATATTAAGTGTAGAAAAGGAACGAATGAAATCTCTAAATATTGAAAATATAAATGACAATTTTTCCAATGCAAAGTCAAGGAAAAAAATTTTTTGAAAATAGAACATCTAAACATTTTACTTTTCAATAGGATATTGAAGGCTGGCTTTATTCTATAGATAATAATATACTATTAATTTTATTATACTTTGTACTCCATTATTTCATAACTATAGAGTTATCATAGTTGTATATAGCTTCGACGCGAAGCTGAGAAGGTATTAATTTTATTTTGATGTGTNTTATCATAGTTGTATATAGCTTCGACGCGAAGCTGAGAAGGTATTAATTTTATTTTGATGTGTTTTTTTTTTTTATTTATATTTTTGTGTCTGTTACCACCAGTGGCGGCTCGCCGGGTGAGGCAAGTGAGGCACAATCTCGCCTGCAATTTACCTTATAATAATTTATTTATTTCGAGCCTCTATCAATATCAAATACCTTTCAAAATATTATAATTTATTTTTATAATTAACGAAATTTGTAATCTTGAACCATAAAAGATAATAGGACAAAAATAGATAACATAATGTTGCGCCTGACTGACGCTGCACAAACACAGCGAGATATAACACGGTAGTCAGAGCCGAAACCAAATGTCTGCGCTTTCCGTTCGTTAATGATTAAAAAATGACAACACGTTACACTACCGATTACGAAGCAAACCGATGAGGTCCGAGAGGCAAACTTTCTTTTGATTCAGTTGCTATACAGGATTATTAAGATTGATTGGTGAGGGAGAGTCGTGAATACTAGGTAAAATGAGGCTGATGTAAATTTTTCTCAGCGGTGAACACCATCGTGTGCCAGGTGGTTTCAAATCTACATTTTACATATAAATTAAATGGAATCGACAATATGTCGTTATTGTTTCTAATCTATGCTTACCCAAAAAAACAACAAACGAATTACGTTTATCACATCAGTTATCAGTCAATGTATAAAAGTATTATACGATTATAATTTTTCATCTTATAATTTATAAAAATTTTAAAGAATTAACATGTTACCGATTAATACAGCTATTATCTACGTGTACCTATAATCTTAAAAATAGGTATATTCTTTATTCAAATTTACTAAATTAAAAGTTTGCCTCACCACTTCCGAGACCCACGAGCCGCCACTGGTTACCACTTTTTTCAGATCTCGCCGAACCGATTTCTTTCAATGATACGTCACAAGATTACTAATCATATCTAGTTGAAGACATTATTCTCAAAAATTGAAAAAATTTCCCTCGTTCCCCGTAAATGGGGGGAAATCTCCAAAAATATTACAAATTTAAAAATCACTAATTTTTGAAATTTTTTTACGTAAAACTACCATAACTTTTTTTTTAAAAATAACTAAATCAATTTAATTTTTAATTTTATAGATGCATGATGTCTTTACCTATCATTTTATATACATATTTTTTTAAATCTGACCCTTTACCTGCCCACAGAGGGGGATTTATAATGACAACTTTTTCACAAAAAATTAACTTTTTTAGCTTAACTTTTGACAGTATTCCAGAAATACTGACACTTTTATATATATTGAATTATTGAAGCATTTCTTATGATAGTGATTTTAATCACTGTCAGATATCATCTATACTTGTCCCAACTATGCCACTTTACCGCGACTCCACTGTGCTAACTTTTTTGTTTTGACAATGTTTCTTTTGAATTTTCATTAATTAAATTTTCTCTTTTTTCATTAAATATAATTAAATTGATTAATTTAGTTTACTTACAAATTTTTCGTACATTGTTCTCTTTGTCACAAAAAATTAATTTATAATATTGTACTAAAATATAAAAAATTGTTATATTAATTAATAACTGTTTTTCATTAACCTTATTCTACCTAAGAGAAGGTACAGAGGACATTCCTTTGCTTTGGTTACTCTAAATTTTAAAATAATTCCCATTGATTTTTATTATGGCCTATAATTCTAAACATTTCACATTTCAGTGTGATACTTAATTTTGCAATAGAATTTTTTGAGTGTAATTTATTATAATTATTTTTAAATTTTTGTTGAAGTATTATGAAAAAGCTTTTAAATTATTCGATATTCTTCATTTTACTAAAATTTATTATTTTGAAATACTGGTAATTATTATTGATGTTTTACTAATTAAAAAAAACCCAGCACAAGGGGGTCGCGGCTAAGTGGTGACGTGGTATAGTTGGATCAATTATAATGATATCTGACAGTGATTAAAATCACTATAAAAAAATAACGCTTCGATGCAAATCTTTAGATAGTGTTTAATTTAAAAAAATTGGTGGATTATTCCAAAAGCTTCATAAACTGCTAGTTCCTTATTAATATCCTGATTAAGACAAAGTATGTCGAATAAAAAAGAGATTATTAGAAAATAGTATTTCCCATAAAAAAATTATATTGATCAATACACTTTTCAATAAGTTATAGCATTATAATGTTAAAAATGTAAAAAATAAAATTGAGAATTTTCACACAATAATAGCATTTGGTAGCCATTTTCACCTTGAAGATAAAATAAAGTCCGAAATTTTTTTTTTCCATGATAAAGTATATTACATTAGCTTTAATTTAAGATATATATAAAAGTGTCAGACTTTCCGGAACA